CACAGACACACAAGCGCACGCACACACACACACACACACACATACACACACACACATACACACACACATCCCTGCTACTCTGAGAGTCAGAGTGCAGTCTGAACTATGCAGCACTGTGGTGGAAAGCCTCATCTTAAACAACACTCCATATCCTGTCCATGCATTACTATAACTGATTGGCAAAACATTATAAAACATATTTAAAAAACTTTTTTTTTTAAACAACACTGTGCATTATATCACAAGGAGTGTAATCACAAAAGCATTTAAACATTTTAAACTGAGAGTGACTTGTCCTAAAAAACAGAGAAACAATGATGAGAAAGACAGAGCAGTGCGGGGGACTGTAAGTGTGCCTGAGTCAGATGGGCACACCTTACAGACAACCAGTGAGTTAGCAAAGGGGGAGGGGGCAGTGAGACAATGGCCTTAATGGGAACCCTTTAGAAAAAAGAGGAACTTTTCTGACTGGTTTGGATGGTGCTTGAGAGGTAGCTGCACTGCACACTTAAATACCAACACTCACACATTCAAATATAGCTACAGTGACAAACACAAACACATTCTGCTTCCCGCTGCTAATTTCTCAGCTGACACTGTTAGTTTGTGAGCATTGTTCATCTACTCAGACACATGTCACTTCAAGATGGATGAGGCTGAATCATGAAAGGATAAAAGACATTAAGAGAGCCAAGGTGAAAAGGAAAAGTGAAAGCCATGGAGTGAAGATCTATGCATGAATTCTTGTCTAAAGAGAAAATATGGATAGCTCTCCATTAAAGCATGCATGGATGTTTTGCTGTAGGCACTAGTGAGAATTCAGACACCAGCAGACCAAAGAATCAAAGCAGGAATCTAAGCAAAAGCCTGTGTGAGTATATAAATATGTGTTCTTTGCATCAGCTATCTATCCCGCTGTCAGAGTATGGAGAAAGACAGTGACAGGAAAAGAGAAGAAAAGGGAGGACGCTTATTAATAAGAGAGAGAAGAATGAGCAGCAGGGAAAGTCACCTGAAAGAGCCATGAAAATGAAAGGGCTGGTAATGGATGAGTGTGACACAAAGGGCGAAAGGGAGTCAAGAGTAAAGAACAGAAAACCAATTTGGGGCAATGGACAAGTTCTCACCTGAAGATTTGTTCCTCATGAGGCGAACCTCTCTCGGCTGGATTCCCTGCTCCTGAAGTTGTGCTCGGATCTACGAAAATAGAGGCATTATTGCCATTTAAGCCTACCAACAACAAGACCCACGCATCATCAGACCGCTGTAGACACAAACACTTACCTCATTGGCTGTGGCATTGGGTGGCAGCATTCGAAGCATTATGATGTTGCTTGGCCTCTGGTTCTGGTCTAGATCTGCACGGTAGTCCTGGTCCCTCTGATCCAACTCCTCAAGGGACAGGTCTGGACCAGCGCTCCCGCAGCTGTGCTCCTCTGCCGCCATTTGAAACGCCTGCATAGAACAGTCACAAATGAGCAACAATAAAATAAAATTGTAGCCGCTCTATGTGAGATGTGCTTGTTATGGCTTACCCTCCTCTTCATCGCGCCACGAGAGAACCGGTCTTCCTCTCTCTGTCTCACCGTATTGTATTCCATCTGTTCAGAATGTGCGCCATCCCGACCCCAGTTGCCATCCCTACTCCCTGAATGAGGGGCACTGTTATCAGGAAAGCCTCTTCCACCTTTCCCCCGACCCCGTTCCTGCAGGCCAGTCCGTAACGGTTCAAACTCCCGCCGGGATCCTTCCTCCTCTCTCTGGAGCATGGGGAGGGCGAGATCGGGCTGTGACTGAGAGCAAGGGGGCCACAGGAGCCCTTTGCCCTCACGCCCCATGTCCCCTCGCCCATCTCCCCTCTGGTGAAACCCCGGCCGGTCTTGGAGATGACCTGGTGAGAAGTCACGGACACCAAGCGGTTGCTCGTCGCGGCCGTACGGTCTGTCCCCCTCTGCTCTGACATCATATCCTGCTCCTGCCTCCTCATCCTCCTGGCCATAGCCTCGGTAGTCCATGTCCCGAAAGTTGTGATCATTGTGGGTGTTGCCGTAGCGACCTGTGCGATCACCTCGCCCACCCCTGCTCACCATGAAAGACAATGTTAGGGACTTGTCTTGACTGACACATGACACATCTTTATGGGGGGGTGTAACATTAAAGTTTAACTCACCTCCGCTCATAGTCCATGCTGATCCACTGACTCTGCTCCTGGTCTCTGTTCTGTGTCTATTTGGTTACAGCATTAGATACCCTGTAAGCATATCAGCACTTTACTCTTTTTGCAGACTTAGTGTACACATACCTTGTCTTTTAGAAACAGAGTCAAACTACTGTTCGGTGGTGGGGGGGAGGAACCCAGAGGCAGGCTGCATTGTCTTAGTTTTGTCACCAGGTTAGCAGCATTTCTGAACACTGCAGACTTCTCCAACTTTGCATGATATCCCCTTGTGTCACTGCTTTACGAACTACTCACCAAGAGCTTGAGATAAACAGAGGCATGGCCCTGCATCACTCATAAACATGTGCGTGCGCGGTGCACATGCTCATGCTTGCAAATCCAAAAAGGAGTATTCAACAATGACGTGTGGCGGTCATCTCGGTTAGCGGGCAAGCTAACTATTTTAGCCCGAGGTTGGCTAACTAGTCCAGGCAGAGAGACGCTGCCTCCGCACGGCTGTCAAAACACAACAACTACAGCTGTATGTGAAATAAGACAAACACTTACCAGTGCCACATGTAACCAAAAAGTAGTCCTTTAAATGTCACGTTGAAGTCTAGGTGAGAAGGGTGTTTTATTTTTCAGGGGAACCAAGTGTAAAATGGCCACAGTAAGACAACATTTCAGAGTGGGCGGGACCAATACCTGACTCTGGTCTGTGATTGGTGCTTGGAGTGCGAACACGTAAATGTCGACGATGATTGGTCCAGACGAACGGCCAACCCGAAACTAGTGGCCCATCAACTGGGAGGACATGTGAGGCATTACTTGATGCGTTTCTGTATATGTCATCATATCAAATATAAAAATCATAGAATCAGATATTTTGACGGGTTATTTATGAGTGTTTTTATTTGGAAACAAGGGTAAATTAATGCCAGAAACATAAGGGAGACGGTCGTAATTATTAATGAATGAATGGACCAAAGAACACATAAATACCTTACAACAGAAAACCCTAATATCAGCTTTATTTGGAAGAAAAAAAAAATATCCAGAAATACTAATAAGTCACAGTACAAAAAAAAAGAGAGAAAAAAGAAACAGCTCTAGCAGCCCACCCCCAAAACTTTCCAGTCTTGCACCCCAAGCTTGACCTTCAATTAATTAAACAAAACAATACTACGGTTACAATTTATCATTTAACTGACATAGGCTGATCATAACAGCAGGATTAAGTAAAATGATTAAAATATACTAAGAAAATTAGAGACATCAACAATAAAAAGTTATAGTACAATAATGACAAAATCATTAAAGGGGGGATGGGGAGAGTTGAGTAAAAGGCAAACTTGAAATACACATCAATAACATGTCCTTACAAAGCCTTGTAGGACATACAGTACATAATGGACATTATAGTAATAAGATAAGCCTATCATCTATCTGAAAGAATATTCAACTCATCAACTACACCACTCATGATTTGACCCACTGATTAACACGATCAAATGAATCTCTGGTACACAAAAAAAAAAAAAAAAAGGTCCTAAAAACTTATATGTTTAACCTGATTGTGCCTCTAGGTATAGTACAATGTCTTCCAGTAAATGAAGGTTTCTGTCACTCTGAGTAGCTGTTAATTCCATTACCCATTTGAGCCATAAAATGTGGCCATCAGGGGTAACTTTGGCATGGAAACAAGGGGTTAGGTCAGTGACGCAGAAGGCCTTTCCATGCATACAGTACGTAGACACATATGTTAATACACTCCCACACAAATATACACACATTCACTGCATGCAGACCTGCACTGGGAAAACAAACCACCATACAGTTTGCATACTCGCACACACACACACACACACACGCACACTTAAGTACAGGTAAGTAATTCAGTATGGGAAAATATCTCATACAATCTAGTTTAGGCATACCCCTGCATAGTGCCTGAGTCAGAATATGGGCCTGAAGGAGCCAAGCCAATGACAGGGAGAAAGCATTCATAAATGTGATGTGTGGACACTACAAATGACAAAATAATACCCCATCTAAGTTATGAATCCCTACCCCACAACTTAACTCTTCTCGACCACTGCTCTCAAGGCACTACATGTAGGCGATACTGTGTAAAATTCACTTAGACATGGTCTTAATTCAAACCTATTGTATATTTATGTCTTTTTTCATACTTTCTCAGGTCCCCATTGTCTTTGGCCTGATGAGGACATTTTCTCTCCAATCATGGCACATTTCATGTTTCAGTTTACATCTATTCAACTGCAAATCACCCCCCCACCACTTGCCCTACAGACGTAAAGATCTGAAAGTTCTCGATAGACGTAAGAAAAATGGCACAAAACCTAATGTACAGACCAAGGACCAAGGTGTAGAAGCCTATCAAATTGTTTAAGACCTGCTTTAATTTGCTAAGGATAATTGGGTGATCAGAAATTAAGCATCCGCAAAACTTTTCAGGGCCCTCCTCAATATTCTCCCCCTATGTCAAATCTCAGTGGAAGCTGCCCTCTCCATCTGTGCTTGACGGCAGCTCCTTCTTCTCCCAGAACCTATAACAGAAGGCAGGGGGACTTCTTGACACGTTTCTTGGCCTGCAGTGCTGCCCTAGTCGCCATCTCAAAGACTTCCCTCACGCCATCTTTGGTTTTGGCAGAACACTCTTGGTAGCCGTAGGCACTGATGCGATTCGCCATCTCTTTGCCATCTTCACATTTAACTGGCTCCTGGAGACACATGTCAGAGAGAGATCAACATTTTGACACGTACACCAACATATGTGCACACATGAGCATGTTTTGACCAAAAATACTGACCTGTTTCATTTTGGCAAGCTCTCGTCTGGTGTGCTCATCGTTGCGCAGATCTTTTTTATTGCCCACCAGGATGATGGGAACATTTGGACAGAAGTGTTTCACTTCAGGTGTCCACTTTTCTGGAATATTCTCTACAGTGAGTGGAGGGAAAGAATGAGCAATTAGCAAATTATATCAACATATATCTATTTCACAATCACAAGGTGTTCAATACATAGTGGAGTGACTGTTGCAAAGACAATACCTAAACTGTCAGGGCTGTCTACTGAGAAGCACATGAGAATAACATCAGTGTCAGGGTAGGAGAGAGGCCTCAGTCTGTCATAGTCTTCTTGGCCTGCTGTATCCCAAAGTGCTAGCTCTACCTGAAAAGACAGAGAGAGAGGTACGTCATGTAAGGATGAATGCATGAATAATTAATATTATTTACATACATTTGAGCATTTAAGTTACATTATTGTACTGCTGTTATACTCAATATCACTGTATATATGTATGTTTAGAAAAATCATGTCTAGTTGATTGACAGAAATCATTTTGGAAAAAGTTATTTCAGAGCAGAAATGATTAATTGATTGATTGAATATGCAATAAGATAGATACAGAAATTAGATACAGAAAATTAATCCGCTATTATTCTGATAATTTAATAAATGTAGTAATTTTTTAAGTAAAAGAGACAGACATCAACTGTTCCACCTGACCTAATATAAATATTTGCTGATTTTCTTCTATGATAATAAAGTGAATATCTTTGAGTTGAGTGAAGTGGTGCAACAACGATTAGTCGATAGGGAATTCACAAGTAAATTAACTATTCTGACAATCAATTAATCAGTTAAATATTTTTTTCAAGCATAAATTTCAAGCATTGATAGTTTCAAATGCGAGTGTCAGTGTCCCACATTATAGTAAAGTGAGTCTCCTGGGCTTTGGACTGTTGGTCAAACAAAACAAGACGTCTGATGACTTCACCTTGGGCTGTAGGAAATTCTGATACGCATGTTCACAATTGTTTTGGTCTTCTAGAGATTCAGGGATTTATCCCCAAAAATATTTAGCAGATTAATGAACAATGAAAATAATTGTTGGTTGCGTCCCTAGTTTGAAGATGTTATCTTAATCTCTGGGAAATTATGAGGAAATTTTTTTGACGTTCTATAAGACAAACAACGTTTACAATGTGATAAGTACGTATAATTACGTTAAAACTATTATTACTAGCCACCCGTACAGTGTACAGTGCCCCTAGTTTGCAGCCAGTGTTTTGTGTTTTGTGTCTCACCTGTTTCCCATCCACTTCAATGTCTGCCACATAGTTCTCAAACACAGTGGGGACGTACACCTCTGGGAACTGGTCCTTACTGAAGACGATGAGCAGACAGGTCTTCCCACATGCACCATCCCCAACTATCACCAGCTTCTTCCTGATAGCAGCCATCTGTAGAGAAGATCATACTTTTACACAAGGTTATCACCTAGTCACTACTATCCACTAATAATACACCCAAACATGGTTTTACTAATAACTAATGCACAATCAGGATGAATAAGGCTCTTAAACTTTATGGTGCAAGTACAACGCCTGCCCCCCCGTCCTCTGAATGTACACATAATGTTAGAAGTAACTCAGCAGCTCAGACAACGTTACTACCGCTAGCACACCGGCTTCCTTATATCTCAGTGTCATTAAAAAGATCCTGGTGTACGACACAAATCTAAACCAAAAAACGACGCGTGTGGCAAACAGGGAGGCTGCCTCCTCGGAGGTAAAGGGTGCAAACATGTAACATTTCCGTGCTGTGTTCCCATTCCTGCTCAAAGGCTGAGCTCTGTAGTCCGGGCCTGTCAAACCAGCTAACATCGGCTAGCAAGGAGAGCTAACGGTGTTTGCCCTGGTTTGGATTACTGTCATTCAAGGTTTCCTCTCTGAACTGGTCACTACAGCATTCTTCGCACTACCGTGGTACTTCTGCAGGCTGAAACAAGACACGGCGGAAAGTTTAAACGCTACAGTTGAATATGATTACCGCTTGATGTTTCTGTGTCCGCCTTTCTCCTCTTCCTGACCGACTGGAAAGCTCCGCCCACTGCTCACACGCATGCGCGAAATAACGTAATTTGCCAACAGGCTGCTGCACCTTTTTTTTTTTTTTTAAACCTTTTTTAACCTTATAAAAGATCTTTATATCCTTATATGAAATATGACCTAGGCATACAGTTGTATCATTTATTGTATATTCACAAAAGAGTGAAATATATGAAACAATACCACGACAATAATTAATCATAATAATAAAGTCATTAACTTAATTAAAAGCTCAAGTTCATTGGTTTTCATTGATCTTTTATTGACTCTTTCACATATCAGTAACGCAGTACATTACATTGTGTAATTTGTCCATATGTACAACAGAAGTAGACACATGTAGAAAAAAATATACATACATATATTACTATATACATACACATTATAATTAAGTTAGAGGTAAATCATAGCCCATTTTAATATATTCAAGTTTCAAGGTTTACTGTCCATTGGGAAGAGATTAAGATAAAAAGACAGCATAGATATAGGCTACAGATAATTATATGTCAAATAAAAGGTTTAAAGATTAAATGTAGTCAGAGAATCAGGTGAATAAGTTCTATAAGTTACAAGTTCACAATTGAGTCATGAAATGTTTCCTTATTTCTATTCCACCCAGGATTTGTTTTTGTTTATATGGGTTTTAAGTTAGCAAGCATGAATCACTTGTCTTAAGAGTTCTGCATCATGTGCAAGTACACTACTCACTCCTGCTTGAGGACTTGGCCACAGAGACTCTTAAGACTCTGCTGAGACTACCTCTCCCACTGAGACTCTTCAAAAGTATCTCCATGATTTAGGAGGGAAAGATGAGCTCTTCAAGTCCTCTTAAAGTGAGCATGGCTTCTTTTGTCTCCTCCTCAGAGTTTATTTGAGCTCACTGAGAAGTTAATAGGTGGCAGAGTTAGAGCACTGCTGCTTCTATTTGTTTCTATGGTCACTGGAGGTAAAGTCGCTCCGATTGGCTGCCTGGCTCAGCCAGTCTCTGATCTATTTCCTGACGGCGGTGGTTGTGGTGGTGCTGTTGCTATTGCTGCGCTGGTAGAACAGCACATAGGCTTGATTGGTCTGAAGCTGGTTTTCTGAGACTGGAGTCACACTGTAGGTGGGTAGATGGAGAGTAATCATGAGAAACAGCTGCAGGTTTGTATAGAAAGCAGCTCAATACAGATGACCCAAAGTCACAGAAGGCTTTTAGAAAAGACTATGACATGCAGTTGGCAGGGCATTGAACACAAAATGACTTAGATGTAGTCTCACCTGGAGTCATTGTAGAAGCACCAACCATTTTCATCTGAACAGCAGGCTGTGTAGTGACCCATGTTCACTGTCCCAGTGTGGTTACATATTGCATATAAATCATACAGAACTGGGCCTGTGGGGACATAGTAGTACAGCTGGAGACCTTTCCTCACAATCGTTCACATCTCTTTCTCCCAATGTCTCTTGTTTTGCTCAATTGTTAGTTATCAAAATAAAAGGCCATAAAAAAGCTATTATATTATATAGTACTCAATACTAGTGTCAAAGGTTAAAAAGAGTTACTTTCACCCATGGATGCCCCTGTTTATTTCTTTTGAAGGTATGGCCGTGACAAGCCCCCTGTTTTTTAACCTCTCCTGCTTATTTATTATTATTTCAACATTTTACTGTATTTCTTTTGCCAAAAATAAATTAAACGTAACAGTGTGTAACTCACAGTAACACACCAAAGCATGCATGCAAAAGGAGATAATGTACAAAAGGAGGAATAAATGAGAAATACACAAGGACAAACTGAAGAAAGAAAGGTTTGTTTGTGTTACCAGAGTCGACAGGTCCGTAGGGTCCAAGGTCCAGGTTAGTGAGTGGGAAGGACACATACACTGTGCTTTTACTGATAGACCACCGTGACATTGTAAAACGATTTAGATCTGATAGAGACTGTTAAGCATCATCATAACTTCCTGCACAAAAACACATCATTTACACATCAGTCGCTGATAAGGTTACTACACTAAGTTAAAGCTGTTGCCAAGGATACGGATCACAATAACCTGGGGAAACCTCTGGATGGACAGCCGCTTGGTGCACTCTGTATGCCTGTTACACCTCTCACACATCTGAAACACACACACACACACACACACACACACACACATCGTAACATTCTTGAAACACTTACAACTACACAGGATCCATTGTAGACAACTAGTACAAAAAAAGTTAATGGGATGAATTACAACATCTGTATTACAGTTTTCCGTGTTTACATATTGTAATATTGTTTGGGGTGCTACTAGCTCATTCTACCTTAACAAGACGCTTTTAATTCCGAAGAAGATTTTAACTATTCATAACGTTTTTAATGTATGTTTATGTTTAAGTATTTCTTTGTTTCCAACAGCCTTCCTGACATGATTTCTCAAACCTTCATTTATATTCTACTCGGCCTTCAAAGGATTTTCATTTACCTTACTGTTGCACTTCTATTTATCAGTATGAAATTAAATATGAAGGTCCCTCTCTCTCTCCCCAGTCAAGGAGTCTGAAGTCAAATACAAAAGAACTTACTTTGTTATATGTCTACAAGACTCAAATTAAAAAACAGCTAATTTACAGTGCCATATAACCTTTTATTTTTATTTTATCTTGTCATTGATTGTAAGTCCGTTCTTTTATGTTTATTTATCTGCTTTGTTATTTGTGTTTGTTTGCTTTGTCTGGCATTGTCTGATATTTATGATTATATTTTGTGTTGGGGAGGACACTTTAAAAGCCCTTTGGCTTTGTTCCTCCTCTGCACATATTTATTAATGCTCTGTTACTATATTTATTATATCATTATATTTAAATTGTGCAAACAAATTAAGAAAGATGAAAAGATAACCCCTAACTATGTGTCTATGCAGTCGGCTGCAGAAAACAGTGAATAATGTTTAGTGTTGGCAGTGGGCGTTTACATTAACTGTCTGTTTACAACAAACATATAAACATGTAATTTTTTAAATAAATAGAAATAAAATATATAGGTTACAGGTGGATACAAAATTCAGTTCTGGACTCAATTATTTCCCAGCTCACAGTGTCCATGTTATTGACCTTTGACCCTAAAGTTAGAGACACATATTGATATATTACAATGCATTATTTTTGCACTCTGTGTTAACTCACTGGTGAATTCTCCTTGTCCAGTTTCTCCTCCTGAGAGAAGAGGTCCAGGCACTGCCTCAGCGTGACCTCCCCAGTAAAGCTCCTCTTGGGTATGGGCAGCGACAGATCGCAGAACACGTCAAATGTGTTGGAGTAGTGGGAGCACACTGAGCAATGCAGCGAACTCCGCAGCTGGCCTGAGAACAGGTCTGTGAGAAGGGTGGCATGAATGATCAGTGGTTGCCCTCATTGAACTTATGATGCAGATGAGACTGACGGATCACCATGACTGGACTGCTCTCCTCACCTACTATCCTGCTGTCATCTCTCTCCAAGTGCTTCTTCCACATGGCAGCTGCCTCTTCCGAAATCCTAAGGGAGGATGAGAGATGAGGGAAAGACAGAGAACAAAATGTTGTCACATGAAGGACATCAAGGTTTCGAGGATAGAATCTTTTCCACATCAACATACACACCTAAATCTGGCAAATTTTTGTTCAGGCTCCTTCCCTGTTCGTCGAACGTAGGGTCTGCGGTTAATTTCTGTGTGCAGCTTGTCCAATAGGAACCTGAGGAACTCCTGTGCATCCTGTTGACTGGTTTAAACACAGATATACAGGGAGAATTCTTCTTCATGTTACTGTTCCAGGCAACTATTTCTATTTCTAAGTCTCAACTTCAAAACCAAAAACCAGCATCTGTACTGGTAGCAAAGTAGAAAACTAAATCTCTAAATATACACACAATATCCAGTTAACATGCAATACAAGGTCAGGGAGAAAAAACAATTATGATGTACAAACAGATCCAATTTTCCAAAACAATTTCAGTGAAAGGTTAGAAGCAATCACACTGAGTACTAATTTTTCAATCCCCTTAAATTGGCTTTAATTTTTCCAAAGTATCAGCTCTGACAATTTCAGGTCCTTCTGTACATTATTCCAGGAAGAGGTGGCAGCACATTTAAAAGCATGTTTGCCAAGTTTTGTTGTAACTCTGGGGACCAACATCTGTAGAATATTGTGAGAGGGCAGGCCATATTTTGGTATACACACAGATAAGGAAGAGCTTTATATATAGAGGCCAACCAGTGAGAGAGTATGCAGATAATAAAGCATAAGCCACAACTGTTTACAGTATGCAACTTCTTTAGGCACTGTACAGGTGCACTCATAAAGACCAGATTACCGTAGTCCAATAAAGGTAAAAAAGTTGCAGAAGTGGATATTGTGTTACATTGCATATATAGCATATTGTCTAAAAATCTCTCTGCCTTTATAAATATGCAGAGTAGTTCATGTGTTTGCCTTTGCACAGCAGTGATGTTGCTTGCACAAAAGTCTCATGCATGCAGTTAACCTTGAGGAAAAGATGAACATCATCTACACCACTATTTTTTCTTTTTGGGGGGCCAAAAATGTAAATAATACATTTGGTGTCTGAATTAATACTGTTTTAGGTTAGAATACCGCAATCAACATCACATCAATATAACAGGCGATTCCAAATATTTGGGTAATGTGTATTCTCACCTGTAACCACTGAAATAAGGCACCGCTTCTTTAAAGAGATTGTAAAACTGTCTTGGATTTACAACTGTGTCTCCTTCATTTTCATCCCAAAGGCCTGACAGAACCTGAGAGAAAGCTAGCACAGGAAGACAAGGAACAATGAGAAAAGATAAAAACATAACATGGGAGGAATAATGGGAAGAGGAGGGAACGGCAGGAGAGAGGAACATACTCTCCATGAGCTTAGCATCCTCTTTGGAGAACTTCTCCTGCTTGTAGAGCTTGAGGAGGCAGTAGTCCCGCAGGCCACGCGTGTGAGACAAACACTGGACTATTGCATTCAGGAAACACTACGTTGAAGATAAAGTGTAGGGGAAAGTGAGCGTGTTTCTGCAAAAAAACATATTCTGGTAATAATGGAAGTATTTCTTTAAAGGGCTCTTTAAAGGCATCCTGCATCATTAGACACTTACTGTGTTACCAATGTTTCTAAGGCCAACCCTTCCACTTCCTAAGGTGAGCTGCTCTTTCTGGAAAACAAAGACAACACAGGAAGCTATTGACCCGAACATCTGCAAGCCTCTTTTGGTTTGTGTACACACGTGCATGTGTGCCCTACTATTTGACCCCTGGCTGTGTCTGTACGACATGATACTGTCTGTCTTAACCCCACCATATCAGTGTGTGTCCAGCATTGGTAGGACAGATTTAGCCTTCTTATGTCATTAACATAACAAGGGAGGCTAAAAGGAGGTCAGCCTCAAGCATTCATCCTATTAGAGACCAAGGAGTGCTGACAGGTGCTTAAACACGTGTGTGTTGATGTGTACTCTCCTTTAATTCCGATTTCCCTGTCTGTGTTAATGTTGTCTCATGAGTGTCCTGTAACTTCCACATTAAGAACAAACTTTAAAGGCTACCGGACTAGAAGATCTGAGCATAAATTAAAGGTTTATATACAATGTTGAGTTTTGCACACCTCGTGATCAGTGACCAGAAGCAGCCCCATCAGGGAGGTGTAGAGGACAGACTGGGAGATGTCGGCCGTCTCTCTCTGCAGGCCGTTATGAGACACCAAGGTCCGACACAGGGCCTCACAAGAGCCCTCCCCGTTGACGCCGCTGGCTCCAGGCATCCTATTTTACTGGTAAACCCTCAGAAGTGTCTACCAAAAGGGGTCCTGAGACAGATAGAAGGTCTTCCCAGTAAATGAAAGCCAGGTGGTTTGCAGACTCAGACTCAGTAGTTTCAGTTTTTTTCACATGCAGGGTTAAAGGTGAGCTGTCTGACAGAGAGAAAGAGTCTTCTCTTTTTTTTCTAAACGCAGCAGATGAAAAAGTATTATCCTCTGTTTCCAGGAAAATATCATTCACAGCTGAAGGAAAAAGAACAGGATTCATTTGTGAATGAGCATCCCCTTAACGTAATTCCTTATCTTGAACAGATCGAGTTGATCCACTCTGGCTCAGAATTCTCTCTTGTAATTACAGCATGCAGAGCCACTCGGAAAGTCAAGGTCTGACAGAGATCTCAGTGAATCCAGACATTACCAAATTAGATTGACAGCACGTTTACAAAAACAGATGTTTTTTTGAGGCCTCACTTAGTTTGCATTAATTAAAGGAATCAAGAATATAACCTTTAAAACAGAACTAGCCAATCTCACAACCAATGTTCTTAGCTGTTATCAAACCCTAATCTATATACTCTCATTGCCGTTTTGTGCAGCTAAAGGGTAAAAATCTAAAGTTAGTTTGCAAATAATGCCATACAAATACTGTAGCATTAGGAAATAAACACAGCGGCTTGGACTCACCTGATCACTTGGTCACTCTATCTGTGGACAAACTGTCCCAACCAAACTGTTCCCATCACCTGCTGAGCTGTTAAAAATGCATAAGGGGACGTCTACTGTTTCACTGTGTGTCTGTAGGCTAGAACTGAAAGTCTACCTCTCTCCTTTGCCCTGTCACTGGTGTCAGAAAGAGAAAGGGAGAGGGAGAGAGAGAGAAAGGGGGAGAGAGGAAGGGAGGATAATCATCACTAATCTTTTCTTTCTAGATCTTGTTGGCTATACTTAGACTTGTCTTTGTGTACTTGGCCATGAGTACCTCAACAAACTTTCAAGTGTCAGTTTATTAAAAAAAACAAAAAACAAAAAAAACATAACAATGAAAACATTTTACACAGTACATTCACATTCAGTAATACTGTTCCCAAGATACACAGTACACATCACAACAATCACACAGTCAATCAGCATCAAATGCAAGAACGTAAAATTATCCAACTAGGAAATGATATGTGTGTCTAAGCATAATCCTCTTTCAGTGATAGTCCATATTTAATTTTCTCCCATGTTAATGTACATTTATAGACATCTATAGTGTCTACAGACACTCCCCAGGCCTCCTGATGATCAGTCTAACAGTCAGCGACTGGTATGGTCTGCCATTTCTATGTCCGAGCTGAGGCTGAGCTCGGCCATGTGATAGAGGGCGGGATCAGTGTGAGGGGAGAGCTGGGACTGACCCATCCTATCTCGCGACTGGACAATGGCCTGGCGCAGACAAGTGATCCACTGCTGCTTGCTGAAGGAATCGTTGGCCTGCAGGCTGTAAGGGTGAAATTTGGAGCGCCCTCTGCTGCTCACACGGAAACAGTTCCTCACTGGGAGATGGAGAGAAAGAGAGGAAGGAAATACGTTACGAGTGAAAGCAAGGTTGTGAATTTCACTTCAACTTATTGGGTGATGTGGCAATGCTATCTCTCAATTTAAGTCTAAATTTAACTCCTTCATCCCTTATTTGACCAGCAGAGGTCAAAGTATAAATAAACCTAAACCATAAATGCTGGTCATGTATGCATTAATAAAGTATGTATACATAACTGTTTGTAATGGGTGCTTTTCACCTCACATTATTTTTAAAAAATAAATAAAAAAATAATAATCAAAATTAATTGTTAGCTGTAGCCCTACACCAATGAGTCCATATAATGTAGCAACTAATACAACATTTATATGCTGTATGTAGATGTTACCTTTATCGTTTCCTCCGGTAAAGGCTCCCCTGAAGGTGCCTCCACCAGCCTCGCCATCTGGGATCTCCTCCAGATTTAACAAGGCATTGGGCAAAGGCTGTCGGTACACATTGAACACCTGACCTCCATCTTTGTCCTCTGTCGGTCTGCTCAGCACCAAAGCCAGCTCAAACAGGAAGACATGCAGACGCTGACAGACGAGACAGGAACACACAAGTCAGAGATATGGCTTCATGAGACTATTTATAACAAATCAATCATCTATTATTCAGATATTGCAGTAACATCTTTGTCGGGGTTACAATAAAAACAGCTCTTTTATATATGTGACAATTAGGATACAAAGTGCACTTTCAAAATACAGTGTAATACAGTGCTCATAAAAAGGGCCTAAGATCAAAATCTAGGGCAGAGAGGAGCGAAGGTCTGTAAGTATATGGATCCACCCTGTCTTGGAGGACATGACCCCCGTCAGCTGAGATACAGACAAATCAACACCACTCAAAGGTCAATGACAACAGAGAGTCACTACCTGGCCCTTGTTGTTCTTGAGCTCTCCGTGGCAGTAGATGAAGCGGGACTGCTGGATCTCTGGTAGTCTCTGACTCTCTTCGAGGTAAATAAGACCCCGCCTGTAGAACTGACACTCCGCCTCGCCTGTTTTCTGGTTCACCTCCGTGATGATGCTCTGGATCTGCTCCAACTAAACAGAACCAAAGTGTTACACAGCATTAATGTATTGTATCTGGCATTTTGGTGATGCACAAAGTGGCACATTTGCTCCAACTGAGATGTTGTAGAGTTGAAATTATATTTCTGGGCTGGGTTCTGAATAGGATACAACTCATATTAAATAGGCAAAATGTAAATGAACACATGTAGTATGTTTAGCATGACAGCATCCTGTCCAATGTGAGCCTCTGATAAAACAATGATCTCTTGCTGCCATTTGGAGGCGCCAATGTGCATAAATTGTACACCACAAATTATAGATTAGTTGGTTTTAATGCTACAAAGAAAAATCTGTACCACCTACAAGATAAGATAAGAAAATAACTAAATGAACAGCAATACATAATCAGATCTTTTACTGTGCATATGAAACATTAGCAGTTAGCAGCAACTATCTAAATATCTAAAGCAGCAGTCTCTGAAGGCATCATTTAGAAAAGCACTCAGGGACAAGAATTACAAGGTGCAGATTGTGGCGTTTGTTTTAGCCATTTAAATGGGCCCCTCGCAGACTTGAAATAATGAGGATGAGCAGACACGTCACACTGTGTAAGACTAAAGTCTGCAAGTCCGGAGGGTTAAGTAAGTGTATGGCAAAAGGAGAGTAAGTGTGTGTATTCATGTTCACATTTGTATGCACATGTACATGAATGTGTAGGACACCAACTCACAGCGTCAGGCAATGTGTCCTCATCCGGGTGGTCTGGAGGTGTGCACTTCTGTATCTCTTTCAACAGCAGGGGGTATTTGACTAAACGGCTCCGAGGGAGATCCAGGAAGTTCCACAGGTCCAGTTTCCTGCTGAACGAAGACTCCTGACACAGGCGCAGAAAGTGTTCCACTCTTTTCTCGTGCTTTTTCTGGTCCAGCAGGGCTTTAGCCCCCACCTGGTTACAACAGTATGTAACATAGGCCCCCAGGCAAGGGAACTGTGGGGAGGAAGAGGCAGTGGAGCAAAGGAGTCAAATAAAGTCAGATAAAAGCAGAGATGCACACAGATTGAACTCTGCAATAATGGTTTGGAGAGGAACATACTAGAGTAAATACAGGAACTGCAGAGAGAGATAGTGGGTTGTGCTCTTTTATGTGCCTCTCTCTCAGACTCTCTTGGTTTGCATGGAAATACTCACCCAGTTCATCAGCGTAGGCCCCACCTCTCCGACTGTCTTCTCTGATCCTCTGAGCCGCTCAAGACGACTGAGAAGATCTGGTACGAAACAAAAACAGCAGAGTCAAACGGGCTGAATTCTCATTGATTTTTGCTGACGGAACGCAAGTGTTACTAGAGCTCAAAGACAGGGATGGCACATTCAACTCATTCAACTTCCTTTACTCAAAAAAGACATTGCATCAGCAAACTCTAAATGAGCCAACATTGTCCTTGTGCGGGTTTAAACACCTGCCTTCAGAGCAGAATTAAAAATTAATATCACTACATCAACTGTATAAATATACTATATATCACCATATGGCAAATTGTTTTTTCTAGGTTAATGCAGTGAACTGTTACACATTTAATCACAGACAATGCATCATATATGTAAATATATAAAACATTTATTGACATTTTGAAATGTTTGAATTTATTTAGAATTATTCAACAATTCTCCACCAAAAGTCAACATATTTTAATATTTAATCATCACTCTGTTTGCCTTATACAAGATAAGGAAATGAGGAGGTTCTGTTGACGCATTAAAGCGGCGGTTGCGTGCAAAGCAGAGAGGTGGTTTACCTTCATGTAGAGGAATGAGAGAGTCCAGTGTACCAAAGATCTGTCCAAGCTCACTTTCTGTCATGATATCCAACTTCAGCATGGGCTCATAGTACACCTGGTGGCACGCAGCAAAGGTACGGAACAAGTGTGTCAGCATGTGAAATGGGCTTGAGGAAGTGGAAAGACACTTTCAAATATATTCGACTTTCATCAGAAGACTTTGGTTATAGTGGTGGTGTTAAGTGGAAAAGTACCTTCTTGACCAGACTGAGGTCATCAATGAGTTGTCTCTCTCCCTGAGTCAGCTCATAGATCACCTGCAGAAGGAGTCAAAATTGCTCAAAAATGGGATGGGACATGTGGTTACAAACACACACTCGCATTTCGAGTAAAATACACAGACGGACAGCATGAGCTCTCACAGCTGATTGTACAATAAAGGAAGTTGAGCTGTGCCAGCTCACATCCTCTTTCATAATCGCCGTATAGAGCTGCCTCACAGAAATAAGGTTGTCACCCTGCTCACATAGCAACCACTGCCCCACAGCTTGACCCATGAACCCCAAAACACATTTCGAAAACATTTCAAAACACACATTCAATACACCTGCAGAAGGTTTAGTTTTTAATGTAGCTGAATTAAACTTAGCGAGCAGCACCTCTTGACGTTTTATCTCCTTTGCAGTGAGGTCATGACTCTCCACTGTGTCACTCCAGCACTGGCTATTACGCCGACGGGGAAACGATGAGGCCTTTGTGCGTGAGCGCAGGGGGGCCGGGGGCAAAGGTCGGGCCTCTGTGCGAAAACTGATAGACCGCTGTGAAAAGAGCAGAGTGGTTAAACGTCTGCATGCAAAAGTAATTTGTAAGACAGAGGTGTGTGAGTGTACTTGGTGCACTGTTACCGAAATGGACTGTCCAATGCGTTTCAGAGCGGGGGTCTTCACTGGGGTTATAACACCTGTTAGGCTGTTGGACTTCGTCACAGGTTTGACCCTTTTATTACTGGGCTCCTAAAACGAAATCAACCATAAAACTTAAGAATAATACTTTTTTTTACATTTTTTACATTACAATTTTTACATCACAAGACTTTAAAACAGCTGAACACACATCTGGGCCTCGGGCAAAAGAAGAACACCCCACCTCTGAATCCTTTGTGTGGTCGGACATCATTTCACCCTCCTCATCTTCCTCCTCATCCTGATAAAACAGCATTTAGCAAAGTTAGAGGTGAAGTTAGAGACATGAAAGAGCTGAGGAAAGTGGAAAGAAAGATGGTGAGATGTTGCACGGTGCAGATCTCTCATTTCCTGTGTGACACTTTCAAAGAGGAAGAAGGTTGAAACTGTGCTTCTGTAGTAAAATACAAGATGTCTGCCTGTTTTTGCCACACTAACCACATCAGCTGTATATCCAGTGTAGTAACAGAGTGAGATGTATTTAAATACCAGCAATAAAAATGTATCTATGATGATGATAATAATATACATGAAATGCTGGCAGTAAAAAGGAACTATTCATGATAATAATACACACAATGAAGACGGCAACAAAACAAACACAAAGAAACTTAAGTGAAAAATCACAGTGGGTGAAATTTGGCAGGATGTCACATAAAAAAAAGGACTGATTTAAAGTTTTGTACGCACAGAGAGCTTCTGTGGCTACACAGCTGAACATAGTGTTCACGTCTGTCGCCAGCTCTGCACTCAGTTTTGTGGTCACAAAGGTAAGGTTGACTAACTTCCGCTAGTCACATAGAGACATGAATTTGAAGAAGAGGCACTGAAACACAGACTTTAATCTCAGATATATGCTCACCTCTATGATTCTGATCACAGGCTCAGGGGCTGGGTCTTGTTTTCTCTTTTTCTAAAAGCAGAAATGTATGTGAAAGTGAGTTTGTTTGGGGTTTTTTTTATGAGTGCGCCCACATAGATTTAAAAAAAAAAAAGTTTTTTTTAAATAAAGTAGATGGTGTGACTTACCCCAGCATGGTCACAGGCGATGGAGTGCGTCTCTCCCGGCGCCACAGACCTAAAAAGGGCAAAATTGTTAAAGACCGCAAAAAAAAACCACTCATACACACAGTTATGCTTTTTTAAATTTTTTTTACTTGAGATAAATGTAAAAACACCTTAAGGAGCTTTATGGGATCCTGTTAGTTTGTGTCTAAATAACTAATTTGGCAGTTTTCTTGTGGTTCCAAGTTACATAAAAGTATCTTTTCACAGAAAGGTGAAGGTTTGATTATTTTGTACTTAACAGTAATATCAAAGGGTTAAGTTTTACCACCCTGATTCCAAATGTGTACCAACTGTAAATACAATTCAAGATATTTAAGTATACTATCCTGTTGAATGGTAATCCCTGCCCCAGTCAGCTTTAAATGACATTGTGAGGCACACAAAGTAGAAACTTAACGATACATATAAAAGCCATCATACCAGGAAGTCCTCGTTTGACCGGTCTCCTCCACTTCCATCTTTTCTTTGTCTTCAGTGCATCTTCACGGAAACATTACACATTCTCAAAATGAGAAAGGTTAAAATAATCCAAATTCACACTGGTGTTTTGTCCGTTTCAGCAACACACAGCGAGTTGTTTGCAGGGAGCTTGTCAGAGTTCAGTGCACTCCTTCCTCCTCACTTTCTTCCTCATCGAACAATCGACCACATCCTTTAGAGTTGCACATACACATGTATCCGCTCTTCTCAGAGGAGGACCCAAAACTCAACTTATCACTCAAAGCTGTCAACTGATCGAACTTTTTAACCTTTATTTCGCAGACCCGACTGAACTAATCAAAAGGATGTAATATTGTAACTACAGGAAAGTATTCATTAAGTGCCCCTTTTTCTCTCATCTTGCACTCTCTGCATATATAAAATAAAAAAAAATAAAAAAGGTGACACCTAATTAGGGTTTTCATTGTAACTTCACAAGTGGGCGTTTAGCTGAATCAGGCTTCCCGGATACGCTCTATAATGAAGCTTCTGATGAAGCATTAAGAGGCAGGTCAGACAGGAAAAACATTTATATGACACTTCGTTTCATTGACCTATTTAACCAGATATGCAATTATATTTTTACCAAAAACTCACCAAAAAAAGTTAAATAACCACACAAAGTCAGGTATGTTTTTACATGTTTATTCACTATCACACTAAGTGCTCCCATTTCAAGATACATCTCATTGCCTTGTTCTTATACTGTAATGTCATTTGGAGTTAACAAAGTAGAAAGAAGACAGTTTATGATCTACAAGGTGTGCCAAAATTTTGTCCACCCCCCCCCCCAAAAAAAAATAAAAGTAATTAACAAAACACATGAAATATAAAGAAAATAAAAGAGAAAACTGATGTCATGTGCAAGAGCCCCACCAAAGCCACAAAGTGCTGGATGAGGTGGGTGCAGGGGTGCCTCAAACCGGCAAGGGTTGCTTCTTCTGCCCGGTATGAGATACTCTGATTATTTTCCAGTTAGGAGAGGCTGTAGACTCAGGTTTAGGCTTTGTCTTCAGGTGCTTGTACAGTTTCAAATTTGGGGTCTTGGGTAGAATTAAGGGCAGTGATATGACCTGGGGGCAAAATGGATTCTCAATACATCTGTAACTATTTCTGGGATTCTTGGCTTCTTTTATTTAATGGAGGTGGATCTTAAAAAACAAAACAAAAAACACAACAAACAAAAGAAAAAAACATTAATGTGGGACCAGGTCTACGAGACAGGGGTTGGAGGAGGGAAGAGAGCAAGTAGAGTGGAGGGGAGACAGTTTGCTGGATTAAAAATCCCTCCTTTAGTGCTGAAGGATAGTACGAGTGTGAGGATGTTTCAGAGGGACACTAGCTGGGGGCTACTGAGTGCCAAGAGAACACTAAGGCTTAGAATTAAGCGGAGAGGTTCTGCTACTGAGAAACTTCAGGAGGTCCAGTATACATGCTCCCTTCCTCCTGTGACACCCCTGTTCCCACAGCCGAGCACCAACTGGATCCCTAAACACACATACAGGTATCCTTAAATCAGCTTACTGGGGCTATGTACACTCAGGCACAGGTTTACACAAACCACAGGCCTAAAAAAAACTGATTGATCCAATAGAGCTGACCTGGATCAACCAACCCCACCCCCCCAATCCCCACCTCAACTCCTCACTAAGAACACCCACCCTGTCCCTACCCCCCTCCCCCTCCCCTGCAATCCCAACCCTCTTGTGGGCGGGTACAGTGTGGAGCTCAGCGGATGGTGTATCTGACATAGGGCACTTCCACATCTTCGTCTGACAAGTCGTTACAGCATAGCTCAAACACCAGGGCTTTCACATGCTTGCCCAGCTTCTTTTTGGACACCTTAGTCACAATCTCCGTCATCCTACAGGACATACAGAACAATACCATTATGACGATGATTAAAACACACCCTTAAATTTATGTGTTAAAGAAGGAGGCATGCGAATGCGAACAATATACTCACGGCAGGTCCAGTCTCTCTTTGAGTTTGGCAGCAGGCATGAAGAAGGAATAGAGCATGGACACTCCCTGAGAAAGCATAGTGATCTCCAACTTATGCTCGTTCTGACGAAGAACAGAGGAGAACAAAACGTGGTTAGTTGCACGCCAGAAAGCACATGGTGGAAAAGTGAAGTGGGCAGTTGATGAGAACGTACTTTAAAGTAGTCCAGGAACTGTCGGAGTGTCATCTCCTCCCCATTGGGCTGCAACCCTGTGACCTCGAAGCGATCCCACAACGACCAATCAATTTCATAGTACTGCAAAAACAAATTAAGAGAAAGGGTTAATGATAATGTCAGTCACAGAGAGATGTCACACTGAGCACCCAGTTACTGTTGGTCTTTGTTAAAAACGCATTAACAGCAGGGCACAAGTAATTAAATGATGTTTTCTCCTCAGCACACACTGATAACATCAGTGTGAGAAGGTGAGTTGAACTCACTTGCACCCAGGCAGACAAACTGCGTCTACCTGGTGCATCAGTATTAGCATGGCTGGATCATCATCGGAGCTCAAAACATCTAATGACCACATTTGGGTCGCCTTTTAGAGAGGACGCTCGACATGTTGGCTAAACACATTATGTGTCATCCTTTTGGACATCTAAGCAGCTCAAAACAAGCACCGCCACACGTGGAGCTACTCACCTTGTGTCGGGGAGCAGCAATGGGCTCAGAGAAGGCAAAGAAAGGCAGGGCCAAGTTCATGAAGCCATTCTTGAATGTCTCCAGCTTCTTGTGTCCTTGGACAATTTTGATAAGCTCCAGGCACACCAGGCCCACCACTGCGGCCGTGGTAGTGGCGATGGCAGGAATGATCTTGCCAGCGATCAGTTTGCTCTGGATTGGATGGAAGAAAAGGAATTTGATTATTTTACGGAGTAGAACGCATATGTAAAACAAGTCAAATATAATACTGAGTTTGGCCTGATAGATTTGCCAGAGAGCTATAGAATTTGCCATGAAGGACCAGGAGTCTGCAAGTCATTTCACTTAAAGTTAATGCTAAGTCTAAAAGGTTTGCCCCCACCTTGTGTCTGTCTGTGGGGGGAATGTCGTAGTTCTCTGCTCTCAGGTTGGATGCTGCTACAATGAAGTCCATGTGGAAGTTGGTGTCATCATCCTATTAATACAGAGCCCACCACAATCACACATGAGGACTACAATCAGTGCACGTGAGGTTATCTTGAGGACTGACAGCTTAGATGAGGCAATTGCACAGATATTTTCATATACAGGAAAAGGTGTGTGTACCTTCTCAAAGTCAATGGGGCTGAGTTTGAACTGGGAAGAATCAGCGGGAGGAAGTTGGGCCTTCAGTTCCTCCAGTCTGGAGTCATCTATACACAAAGAGATCAGTTGTACATGTGTCAGCAGCATTCATAATTACCCGTAATGAAGTTTTAACATCAATACATTATTCACAAACACTTTATCTGAAGATCTACAAAAACAACAACCTTGATTTATGACTTTAATGCTTTGTTGTACGAGAACAAATTTGCCAATCTTACCAACAGAGGAATTGCTATTCTGCAGGTCCTGATCAGACACGTGAATTTTAACCCCTGAACGAGGGGTAAATTGTGGCACCTTGACATCCTGCAAGATCTTGACCACACCTGCACGATCGGTGCTGCCTGGCACACCGTATGTCTGGGCATACAAGTTGGCTGCTGCCAATACATAGTCCATGTGCAGATCCTACAAAAGAGAGCACTTATGTCATCGTCTTGAGAGTGGACAGATGAATTCAGAGCAGACAGTGGGTCAAGGAAGTTTACATAACATTATTAACCCAGACTTACATTGCTAGTGCTGAAGTCTAGAGGGTGAGGACATCTCTTTGGGCCGGACCAGAAGGGGGCACCAGAGCTGGTGAGCTGAGACACACAAATAAATTAAAACCTTAGGACCACTAAACAACATTAAATATACATTTTATTTCTATTTTTTTTTTTTGTTTCATAACAATTATCTTCACTTTGGGATAAATTTGGGCATTGTGTGCCTTTATTAGATTGACAATGACCGAGAAATGAAAGGAGATGACTGAAAGCAACAAATGCATTACATTAGCAGCGTCTCAATGAAAAAAAAGCAGAGCCAGTCAACTAATATGAAAGAAGTAAAAGGCAGGAAAGCACCCATGACAGATCACTAGTCTATTTGCAGGCCAAAAGCCCTATTAGTACCATGTGTCATTACTATTTCACAACAGCCATAATTCTAAAACACGTAGCTTTATAACATGTGCAGAAGGCTGGGAGATTTTATGATTATTAATGCAGATGGTGTTTTCTATCATTCCTTAAAGAATTTGGGTAAACTCAGTCTCACAGCTGCAGCAGAGTCATGCATTCAATCTCCTCTAACACCTAGTTATTTCATTGTCATACAATTCAAATTGCAAGAGCAATGCTTAGGCATTGTTTAGAGCTTAACACACCTTAATCACCATGTTGGCTATGCCTCAGAGTCTATTACAGACAGCTGGGTTGAAATGAATAGGTAGCAAGAAGTTATGTGAAAATAAAACAGACAAATTATAATAGAAATAAAGAAAACAACAAAAAACAAGCCGCTAACAATTCAATGTTTTGAATCCATATGAAAACGTGGCGTAAACCCCAGGACAGACAGTAAGCATTCCACGACAACTGATATTTATCATGCAGTGAGCTGAATATGTACCTGATCTGGGGGGAAGTTGTGCAGTAGCTGGCGGATGTTGTTGCTGTACTGGCACTGCCAGTGATTGCGTGCCCAGGCTACACAGTCGGCCCAGCTGTGGGGGCAGTCTGTGACAAGACTCTTGTAAACAGCCTCCAGAACCTCCACAGGCTGAGCTCCGGGAAGTTTCAGAGTACGCTCCATGAACTTTGGATCTCTGCGAGGACAATAATAAAGCTTATAATCCGGTTTAAAAACATGTGAAGAGCTGTCACTTTCTGTCCATCTGTTCATCACCCAGCAGTGTCAGTCAGTTAACCGTTTTAAGCACGGGATTTTGTTTCATCTGTCGACACTTGAAGACTATCACCAGCTCCAACTATTAAATGAACTGTCAAAAGTAGTGATTGTCTGTAAGCTTATTAATGCAAAACAGAAGTAATTTTGCTAATCTGAACAACTTTCATGATGGAAAAAAAAAAAAAGCATGCCATATGTATCGGTGACTACAGTGATGCAACATGGTTTCTTTAGAATGACGTGGAAGGCAACTCACGTGAGGTACTGCATGGCGTTCTCTGGGGGCTGTTTGAATAATCCCTCAAACTCATCACGGGCCCACTGAACAGAGGACATTATTGAGAACAAGTCAATTACAATACTCTCAATTGACTACATCAAGTACAGTATGTATCTAAAACATAAAACCATTTCAGAGTAAGGTAGTGTCATTAGATACAAAATACTAAATCCATTTTTACTAAAAGCTGTTACAACATGACATTTGTGTTCCAGTAAAATTATTTCTGAATGTGGTCATATCACAAATTGCTCACGCGCCTACTGACCTGCAGTGTGTGTTCAATGGCATTTGGAAAGTTCTTGAGGGTACAGATGGGGATGGACTTCTCAGGTGGGTCTTGGCTGGAGCTGTACGACTCTGTGAGGAACGGGATCACAACCTGGACGTTGCCTTTGGTACCCAGAGTACCAGACTCCAGTAAGGGTTTACGGTAGTACACACACCTCCGATCCATGTACATACCTACACAATGGGCACAAACACAAGGCAGAGGACAGAGCTCACATAAAGAGGGAGATGCGTTTGTTTTTCTAGTAAGTAAACACTGTTAAAAAGATTTATAATAGTGGAAATATCTGCGTCTCTTACGTGCATCAACATTGTCAAGTGCATTGGCCACTCCATCAAGGCTTTCAAAGAAGTCGTCGTCATAGACTCTCTCTGTGTCAGGACCCACTCTGTTCTGGTGACCTGTGATTCTGATTGAGGGGTTCATCTGCTTCACTGCAGCGGCAGCTGTGTCACTCTTCATTTTCTGGTACCACACACACAAATTATATTAATATTTGTCAATGTTCTAATCCAACGCTAACACATGGAATTTTAATAAGCAGAAAACTGGTATAGTGGTGAAACTTGTTGACAAATGTTTGAGGGACATTACACAAAAACACGGTTTGTGCAGGATGTGTCGTCCTTATTAAAAAAAGGTACCTTCAATAAAGACAATAATTGCAGCCCACCACACTAATCTGTCAGTTCCTCCAACCACATTTCTTTTGAACATAATGGCCTTGAACAGAATGAACAAAATGTTCATGTAACAATAACAGTGTTCCAATACCAATCTGTGCTTTGAAATGGCAGTGTATTAAATTTATTACAGCGGGAAAGAAACACACTAATACATCAACAATGAGCCATAATGACCTAAGGCATTCTGTTCCCTCCATCTAAGTGTTGTACCATGACATCATCCATCATCAGCGTTTGGATCAAATGCACTCAGCAGTTACAATGAACTGGAAATCCATTTGCATCACTGCTCGGAAATATCAAATTCAATCGATAAATGGCCAACGCATGTTCCCATCTACAAATAGACCTGAATGAGTAAAATTAATACTGACCGTCACGTCTGAGGGTCTGAAGAGGAACTGTCTGTTGAGATTGGATTTCTCGATGGTGTCCATGTCTGTCACAATGACCTCACCCTCTCCACCTGCCAGTCCAATCATGGCAAAGTTTTTCAACAGCTCACAGCCAATGGCACCTGCTCCGACCTGGAATGATAAAACCTCTGTGACTAAAGCTTCCAAGTTGTACCGCATGTTCTTTTGTTAAAGACACCATTTAAGAAAAAAAAACATCCATTCATAGTGGTCAGTAGAGAAATACAAGCTAACAAAAGCATGCCAGCAGTACACCAGGTTAAACTTATTTCAATGTGGCTATGTTAGAGAAATGCAACTGTAACTAAGGCATGTTATGTTTTTACTGACAAAACAGAAAGAAAACAACAGTGTCTGTTATTATTCTGTCTCTGAATGCTTCTCCACCCAATTTCATTTGTTCACAATATGAAAAATATAGAATTTCACCAGACTTGTCCTCTAAATCTCCCTTAGCAACAGGGTGCCAGAGGAGGTGTTGGAAAGTTTTCTATGGCCGACTCACCAGGAAGTAGCGCTGTTTGCCAAGAATTTCCTGCAGCTTGGAACCAAACACTGCAATCTGCCCATCATATCGACAGTTCCTCTGGGAGGAAGAGAGATAGAAAAACAGGTTTAACACAGTTGTTTGTTGCCATCAGTTGCATCTGTCTTCTGTCTTCAGTATTCAACATTCAGTTGAGAATTTGCAATGAAAACCTACAGGGGCGCACTCTTCCTCTGTGAGTATGACTCCTTCCTCTTCAGCCAGGCACTCCAGGGCATCAAAGTACAGCCACTGCATTATGGGCATGAATTTTCCTGTGCATGCCTAAAAGAACAAAGCATGTAAAAATGTAAATCTGCATTTATGACAGAAAGGTTGATTAGGTTTGAAAGGGTTAGTGCAGTACTTCAGATCTTCAAACATCTAATCACAGATAACAGTAACACCATAATACTGTAGTGCTGATTTAACGTCAATTAAAACAGTGTACCACTGACCTTCATCACTTCCTGTGCAGCCAGACCCCCAATGAAGGCATTGACAGGGGCCAGGTCACCAGCAGCAACAAATGACAATTTTTTGAGAAGAGCTTCATCCAACTGTTCCAATTTGGCTGACCCCGTCTGGGCAGAGTTCACCTCTTTGACCAACGCCAGTAGCTCCTCACCATCAGCCTGGAACATAAATTAAAAAATGTTATGTACATTTTTCCCTGCAGTGTTGCACAATTATTCATACAGGATCTCTGCAGTAGTTTCAGTTTTGCATGTAATGAAAAGGGCTACAGTTAAATAGAAGCTAATGTTTCCACATTATACCACTACTGAGTCTCATAAAAGTGATCCATAATCATTTAATCAAATCCCAGTCACTTCAAGCCACTGAGGCATTTATACCTGGCTCCAAGGTACAGGAAGGTGGTTGTGTTTCTTCTGGAAGGCATGGATAGCCTGGAAGCCCACATGCAGCTGTCCTGGGCGCTCGAATTTTGCAAAGTCTGTCATCACAAACTCTGGCTCAGCCAAAGAGGAAGAGTAGGATTTCTGCAAAAAAAAAAAAAGAAAAAAGAAAAAAGCATACAAGATAGTGAGGTTGGGCTACACAATAAAATTTCCCACTGGAAAGAAAAACAACAGATAATGTGGTGAAACCAGTATTGTAGTGAGCTTAGACATGATGGCAATATTGGGGTGAGGGGGAGGCAGTCACTTACAAAAGCAATCTTCTTGGGCATCTTGACTTGGGAAACAATTCCTCCTCTTACATAATCTGTAAAGCCAGTTGTGTCACAGATGCTGAAGGTGTAGGGACCTGGACAGAGACAGAGACATATCAGTTTATAACTGTGATTACCACACAAACCAAAACTTGTCTTTTCCTAAACAGAAACAGGTCTTACCCAGAACTTTAATTTCCACTGGCTGGCAGCCATTCAGCTCGGTCATACCCTGAATCTCAGTAAAGGTGACATAGTCTCCACTCTCAAAGCCATGGCGAGCCTCATCCAGACAAGTCACAACCCCTTGATTGTCCTGGAAAAACCAAGAGAGTTTGGCGATTTAGTTCCAAAAGGATATCCAGGGTTGCCACTCTTTAAATAATCTTTTTAAAGGACCTTTCCAAGACATTTTCCAAGTGTTTATATTGACAATACAGGACACCACTTGCAAACAAATGTATGTATATATAATTTACCAGTTGGCCCAGTATTGACACAATTAAACCCCAGTTGTATTCCTAGTTTTTTTAATGATGCACGGTTCATGAGGAATTGTCTCATATCGATTACGTCAGCATAAAGGTATTCGGCTGTTCTCGTCACAGCAGATATTTCCGCTGCAGTCTCAGCGGAGCGGAGCCACGGTCTCCGGGGAATTGACTACAGTTTACTACAGTTCCTCTAACGTAACATTTGTTCACAGCCCATAAGAAACAGTTCAAAAATAGAATTAACTATATTTTACAAAAATTATAAAGGTAGTAACTGAAGAAACTGAAAGTGTCACATACAATTAGCTTTGTGTGCTATGCATGCATTTTTCAAACCACAAAAATGTTACATTTGTTTATTAATAGGCATGTAGATACGACCGCCTATAGCATTTCTACTGGGCTTCTCTCAGTATTCAGATTGCGGCTACATAAAATCATAGAATTCACGCAAAAAAGATCGCTGCAAGTCCGTTCCACTTTGTGTCTGGTGTGAGTAGCTAGATTGACAGACAAGGAAGCCGAAATTTTAAAAAAGGTAGCCTTTTCCCCCCCCATTCTGCTTTTTGTCTGGCAAACCTGCTGTGAAGTGTTCAGCGTCATGTAGACTCGCCATTCCCGACCTGTCGCGCGACAACGTGACGTCACAGGAGCGCCGTAACTATTTATACTTGCGCTGGTGGTCGCAACACTAGTTGCAGTCTTCTCCTGAACAGAGGTGTCGCAAACTGAGCAAAGGCTACGACTTTGGGCTATTTCTACGCACTAGAAGAAGACCAAAGGGAAACAATGGCGAATCTTTTTTTGATTTTCAAAAATTGGCACTTGCTCGGCAAAGCTTCCTGTTTCCGGTTTGGCGCGCTCAGCTGAAAAAAAAAAGTGGTGCGTGTCATTTTGAAGTAACCGTGTCACGCGACAGGTCGCAAATGGCAAGCATACTGAGGCCTTTATGCAGCACAGCTTATTATACTAACAATCACGTTTTATTTTTTTATAAAAAAGGTGCACCTAGGTTTACATAGTCAATCTGAGAGAGAGATTTTATTTTAATCAATAGTCATTTTAAATCAATTTCCAGATGTATCCATGACTGAAAGGACACCCTTCCATCTTCAAGCTTTACCTTAATCCTAAAAGAAAAAAATTATTTGAAAAACATTCTGGGACAGACGTAAAGACCAACCTTGGTGATCATGGAAATCATGGCACTCAGGGGCTGCTCTCCGTTGGTGTCGTACACTATCATCTCCTCACCAAAGTCACAGAAAAGTTGGCTGCAAAACATAACACATGGACATAAATGTTACACGTTAACAGACAAGTGGCTACACACTCCGTCTGAACCATAAATGAACAAGGAGTGAGAATCTTACCCAAACAGACCACGTGTGTCTGCGATGATCAGCTTGATTCCTTTGCTGTGGCAGAAGTCCCCGACATGCTGCTGCTCTTCCAGATCGGAGTTAGTCAGCACCACCACCTAGGTTACAAAAAGAGGCAAATTTAAAACACCAGATTGTCTATCCTTTCTGAAAGTTCAATGAGAGTGGGGAAACATCTTCGAAGTCTCTACGTAAGTCATACCTGGAACTTGGTCAGGTAGTCTTCAGCGAGGGCTCCAGTATAGGCGGTCACCGGGACATAGTTGTTGAGTTCGGCCAAACGGTGCTGGCTCACCTCCGCTCTGTTCTTCCCCAGGTCATCCTCACGCAGGTAAAACTAACCACATAAAAATACATACCATGTAAGGAATGGATACTAAAATCAAACAATAACTTCAACTACTAGTGGATGAATGCCAAATATGGCAATAAAGGAAAATAGACACCTTATCAGCACACCTAAAAGTAAATCTGAAAATGCCATTGTGTGAAAACAAAGTTAAACAACTTCTGTTCATACTATGGTTATCATTTTGGAAAAATTGCCCATCCATACTGAATTACAAAAACACAAAGACAGCATCAATATTCTTATCTCCTCTTTCAGTTGGCTGACAAATTGGGGTAATCACAGCCATAACTCAGAAAGGAAAGAGGGACAAACAATTTTCTCACTCTACTTGGTCTCAGCAGTTTCAATCTCTGTCCTGTCACAACCTAATCTATGAATTAATCATTTAGTGTTTAAATATAGCCAAAACATTTTTAGTAGTCTGCTATACTGACATTCAAATGAGCAATCAGAGTTGGAGGTTACAGACAGTTTTTGTCCTCACAATTCTGCTGCCAAGCATCTGATCATGTCGGTGCAAGAATATGTAATTATTTTATAAATTATAATATTATAAACCAGTTTATCCAGCTAGCAAATATTTCTTAACACCTTTTTCCAGATGTAATTTTACTGGCTTAGTGTGGAAGAATTGGGAGGAAGAGAAGGTTTCAAATTCTCGCCTAGTGTGGACCTTTCCTGAGATTCAGTGGTTGATTAAAGGCCACCACCTATAAAAGATGGATGACATGTCAAGCGGCAGAAATATAAATAGGCTATTTAATTCAGCTTGACGAAGTGAGGACACTGGGGGAAATGCCAGTGGTTGAAATAGAAATGTTTTAGAGCACAAGGTTAAACTCAGACTGTCGCAAATGCAGCGCACATAAGGCTCTGGTCACAATCATACAAATCTACAAACAAAAAAAAAAAAAGAAAAAGGTCTCTGCTGAGCCACCTGACTTAACACCTGAGCTGTATTCACATGTATCTGCCTGGCCTTAAATAGACACGTCAGAATTCAGGGTCTGGGTCTGACAGACCTAAACAATCTCTCCAGTGTAATGATGTCCTAAAACAGGCTTTAGCTCTACTATGATTATGACCCAGGGAGAGGCCACCCACTGATAAATCTGGGTCAACCAATGGCTAGCAAGGGTGGGGGTTGTTGCAGTTCTCTTTTTGGGTGGCAACAATACAACACAACGTGTGACTCAGAGATAGAGCCATGGTGCACTTTGGAATCAGGCTAAAGACGCTGGAACGCCAGATAAATCTCCAATAAAAGTAAATTGGCTGAGCGAACCGATGTCGGAGTTAAAATAAATAAAAATCACTGTACTAGTGTAAGTGGGGACATGCGTTTACACACCTGAGAGGAGAGATCTCTCCATTCTGCAACTCCTTGGTCGTGCACAGTGACACTTCTAACTCCTCCCAGGATGACGTTCTTGGCAATCTCCACTCCCAGACCTCTCATACCAGAGATGAGGACATTGGAGTTCTGCATGCGCTTCATAGCCTCATGGCCCAACACATAACTACAGGAGGAGAGAAAGCATCATCAGCTTAACTAGGCAATCTTAAACAACTGGTCCAATAATAAATACTGATGGTTGGTCTTTTTTTTCCTTTATTAGGACAAAAAACAAAACAAAAAAGGCTTACAGCTGTCTGGAGTAGAGGCCTTCATCGATCTCAGCATCATTGCCATTCTTAGCCATGCCCTAGAAAGACACAACAGGGGTTACAATCAGTTTAGGTTAAGTTTTACCAAATGTATAAAGTGTATAGATGTTAGTGCTTACGTTGGCAGGTGTGTGGGACAGATCAGTTCTGACAGAGTTAGAGGAGGAGCAGTGGGATCCCGTCTTCGTCTCTGTGTCTGACAAGCGACGCTTCTTGGACAGCGGCGAGCTGGACATCTGTGCATCAACAAACACTGTTAAAGACCGGTCACGTAAGGCACAACAAGATACACTGTGTCAACGCAACAAATTCCCTTTACACGTTTATTAATTGTTTATAGTGGATAATATAGAAAAGGAAGTCTAAAAGCTTCAACAATTAAATGTAGACAGAGGCAGCACATTGATTACACGCCTGCATTTCATGTAAATGTTTTAACGGCTATAACTTCAGATTCAAATAACTGAAAACTATATAATTCAATACTATGGATCCATCATGTTGAGCAGTCAAGCTAAATGCTACAGAATCCCCTTTAATGTTGAAGAGAGGATTTCTAGTCTAGGAAGCAGCTGGGCTGGCGACAGGCCAAACACAAATCTGCTAGAAAACGAACTGCCTGGGAAGAGACATGAATAGCAGCATTATCAGCTCTTTTCATGCTCAGAGACAGCGCTGGCTTGTTTATGTACTTCTATTGTTTATTATACCGGTATTTAAGGACCGCCAGCATCCTTTCAACAAAAAGAGCTGAATCATTAAAACTTCACTGCGGTAAAGTGAGCAACACCTCACGGTAGCTTGCAGGTGTGGACACACTGACCACACAAAGCCGCTGGAGCTGTCCTCGCTATGAAGAAACAAAAGGGCGCTTATTAGGAGAAATACTTTAAAAAAACCTAAATACATTGTGATTAACGGGGGGAAAAAATCGGCCAAACGCAGCCACTCCGGGAAGTGAAACAGGCCGCAGTGTCTCGCACATATTCCCACCCCACGACAAACATGATCCGCGACAATTTCCGCATCCAATGCAGCTAACTCACCTGCGTCCTCGAAGTCAACCCGACCCGTATATAAACCTTCATACAACTTCAAATGACCAAACGAGTCGGGCCAAGTCTTATAAATAACGGTACAACCGGCTAAAAATAACAATTTCACCGGAACCTGAACCGGTTCGTGAAAAATGAAAAACGAAGGCATCCGGCATGATACAGCAAAGCACCGAGCCACCCGGTCAGCACTGTTAACTCTGGTTTATTTGCACATAATCCACAGCTGGTGACAAACCACAGCAAAGCTCGAAACATCTACGGGAAAAAAAAATAAAAAAAAAAATAAAAAAAGCTGGATCAAATATCAGTTAACCACACCGAGAGGAAACCGATTAAGTAGGTTGCGTGCCACTAATCAGTTAAGTGATTTGGCAAGTGGACAGAGTGGAAACATTAATAACTTAGAGGCAAGAAAACACCAGGCAGGCAGCCGATCCGTGAGCAGCTCGGCCTAGGCCTGTATGCGGAACAACTTTACCAGCTAGCAGCTGTAGCTTTGTGCAACCTGCTCGCAAAAAGAGAGCGACGGGTTCATTTTGACAGCCAGCGATCACAGCTCCTCGACTTATGCGGCTTAATGTTACAGCACCAAAACAAAAGACACCGTCTGACTTTGACGCTCAATATAAACGAGGTTTTTTTTTTTTTTAAATTCACGAATGAAAGACTAGCCATTACACTCGTGCTCCATTGATATCTCTTTCCTTACCAATAATCCTTCTCAGTCCCTTCCCAATGCGAACCCGCTCCTCTCCCGCAGTGTCTAGATGTCAGTAATATCGATGGCAGTAAATTCGACGGTTCGTACAAAAGAAAGAAACGCGATGCGGGATTGGGGATGGTCTGCACTATATTGTCGAGTCACTATGTCGTTGTGCCGAGAGTCTCTTCTGTGTAATTGCGTTGCTGGCTTTGCGACTGCAGACGGGAACAAAACCAAAATGGCAGATGGGGAGAAAGGGGCGGAGGAGCTGTGACGCATGGGCTAAAGTATTCAACAGGAGAGGGTCGCTGCGAGCATGCTGCTCCGCCAGGAGCTCAGCTCATTGGCCGCCGACACGAAGCCAACGCGCTTTCATCCCGCCCCCCTCGCTACCAGAAGATGCATGCCATGTATGTTACTGTACAATGAACTACAGGAGCTCCAGCAATCCGTGTATATATAAAAAAACAAACAAAAAAACACCGTATTTTATAAAAAACACGCGCATAATATGCCTGAAGTGCAAGAGAGAAAAGTTCAAAGTACGGACTGTGATTTTTTTTTTTTTTTTTTAAAGTATGGACTCGTGTACCGGTGCTGAATGAGATCCATCAATAACAGCAGCTTTGTTCCAGCGCTTGCGAAAAGTCGCCTCGCTGTGGAGCTCAACTTCACACACTGAACTTTCACCAGACGTGCCACACAAAGCGTAACCAAATGATATAACGTTAACACACTCCAGGGTCTCATTTAATCGTACCTATGCTCACTGCGACGCCAACTGAGGTTTGAAGACGCACTTTCACCCCCCGAGTTCAGCACAACACCACAAGTCAAGGCTGGTGGTGCTTGTAATGGTAACTTAAGGCAGGTACAACATTAGGAAGGCTATTTTGCTGGCTACAGTGATGCTGAGCGTCTGGGCCCTCAGTCACATTGAGGTTAGGGGTGAGCATTCCTTGTAGAGGAGGAGTATTGGGGGAGGGGGTGCCTGGCAAATGACAAAGGCCCAGGAAAGAGTGGGCCGCATATTCTCGGGTACACATGTCGAGGGGATCCCCAATCTCACCTTCTTGCTGCAAAATGATGAAAAAAAAAAACAACAACAACTCAATTATCCACCTCTCGATCTGAGCTGTAACGCACGAATAGCATTCATGTCACGTTAACAGGCTCCCCAACTTGACCATCTTGAGAGGAGACACCAACGTTAGCCCACATCACGTTACTGTGGTAACATCGACCCGCCGTGCTATCGTTAACCAAAACGCATCCATCGAGTTGAGATATCGCCAGGGGATTGTAGCAAACGTGATGCAAGTTAGCGAGTGTCCCCCCCCCTCTTTAATACTGCGTCCATCTTAACGTGTGTGTTTGTAGCCGACTAGCCTTTAAGCTACCGTTAAACATGATTTAATCACACATTAATTCACTCAGCGTTTCTCCTGCACACAAAATGTGCAAATGTGTTATCGTTATCAGTAACGCGACTGTAGCTTGGTAGCTACGGCTAGCCGAGGGGGCCAAGTGAAATGGTTACGATAGCCGACGGCAACTACCGTTAACGAGTACCAATAACGCAGATCAAACGACTGCGTAGTTGTTAGCTTGTGTGCGCTAGCTTTCAAGCTATCTAGCCACCCAACGACTTTTTCCTACTTGTGCCGCTATGTGAGCTAACTAGCTACCGTTAGCCAACTAGCTCAGGCTAACACTTACCGAGACTGGAGCTTACACAAGTGTGCACAACTTACCACATCCGATATTACTCGGCCTGATCTGTAGTATTAAAATCGGCTTGTATTTAAGCGAGAAAACCTAACAAACAACGTGACAAGTCAACACGGCCGTTGATTGCAAACTGAAAAGTATGTCAGGGTGGCGGGCTCTGTGTGAGTTTTTCCGCTGGACGGTTGCCTGCCCGGCTGTTCCCGAACCGTTTCCCCTCACTCTATTTCAGTTGAAAGCAAAGCAAAGCAGCAACATGTGCACGTTACAGGCACTACCATCATCCCGGTCCAGAGGGTTGGCCAACAAGTGAATCTTATTGATTTATCGCAGGCACATGTTGTTATTCATGTTTATTGTTCTACCACACCACTTTGAGGGTAATACGTATTGATTTCTACACGACTACGCGGTTTAATCGTGTGTTATTAGTTTAGAGCGACGAGTAATTTTTGCACCCCCGCGCCTTCTCGCGTGTAGACTGATCCGAAGGTCACGCAAGGCCAGATGGGATTTGTAGGCATGGCGTGATAATATAAAATCTCTGCGAGAAACGATTGGATGATGTGTCTTTCAGAACTAACTAATTTAATTCATATCAAAGAGATAATAATTTACACTTTTTACCACTGACACAACTCGAAATCTTGCTGGATTTTGTTCTTTTATTGAAAGACTTGCAAACAGAGCACAGTTTACATATGGACAGAATAGTGTTTGTTTAGACTTGTTCAGGAGAAAATCACAGAACCTGGTATTACATAGAAAGCAAAATTACATTTAGAGAAACTTTTTTTTACATGTTAAAAAGGAGCAAATATAGACAGCACTGTCCAATTTACAGTACCAAATGAATGTGTCAACACAACTGGAGAAAAATGAAAACAAACTTTTTGGGCAAAACTTTTGGAGATCTTTATACATTATCTTGTATATTAAGGTTTGTCTCCAGCCCTCCGACAGGTGTGGTGCAACTCACAAGAAGTGACAGTTCAAGTTTAAGTACACTATATAATAAAACAAATCTGAATCTCCAGCAGCCAATGGAAAGGCTAGATCAGTTAAGTTTCACACATTTCTGTACAACTGTGTGACTATAAGCTCATGATTTTGCAGCTTTGCTATAGAATAGCTACATAAATAAATAAAAAGGAATGGGAAATAATGAAATGGGATGAGCTCACTTAAAATAAATGTCAGTTTGGATATGAGGAAGTTTACAACATGGGAGTAGAGCAAGAATTAGGAACCCAATTCTTTGTATGTATTTACATTTAGTAGGGAATAATGCAAATAATAACACTTCCTCAGCTGTTAACTCTCACCAATGTCTGTTCCTTGTGTAGATTCATATTTTACATACTGCGCTACGTGCTTGGATTTGAGTATGAGGAGGTTGTGTGGTGAGCATTCATGCACAAAATCTAGATTTGAGATGCAAAAAAAAAACCGAAAACATTTGAGATCTTTCTCTTGGCAGCTGTCATACAGGGAAATACAGTACACTAGTCCCCCTACACTCTAGTCATGAGTATTTGAATGTCATAGGGAGACTTCTCTATACCGGTATTCTCAATATGAACACACATCCAAACCAAAACGACAATGTATGGTTACTTTACTTCTGAGGAGCACGTGGGTGATACTTCTGGATGTCTTTTAACCCTCAAGTTTAAATTATAATTCCAGTGTTCCAGGTGTTGTGTATTGCATCCTGCACACATGCTTCAGAGACCCCTGCCCATCCCAGCTCTGGGGGACTGGCTGGAACGAGCAGCATCCCTCTGTCCATCCCTGTCTTCCTGCTCTCCTGCAGCCTGGGGTGAGGACTGTGTGGGTGGGAGGTGGGGTAGGAGGGAGGCGGGATAGTAAGGCGAGGTAGAGACGGCAGCGCAGGCCTGGGAGAAGTTGGAAGAGGCGGAGGGGTGACCGAGGTCGCAGTCGAGGAGTGTTGTGAGGAGCGTGCACGGGAAGTGGCAGGCGAGGCGTGTGTGCTCCGGGCACGTGGTGGCTCAGCTGGGCAGTCACTGATTTGCTCTAGCAGTGAGGGCATGTCTCCCTCAATCTTCTCCAGCACGGCAGCCATTTGCTTTTCTATCTGCTCAATCACACTGTCCATTTGCCAGTCGCTTGTGGAGCTGCCGCCTCCTCCATGCTGTAGCCCAGTACCGTACATGCCTATCCCTCCTCCACTCGTATACAGGGAGCTATACGGACTCCCATAGCTCCCTGCCATCCCCATCCCTACGGTCCCAACTTCTGGGCTGTATGGTGTGGCATGACGGCCCAAACTAGCAGAGCTGCCTACTGTATAACAACCCTGTCCTGTTGTAGGACCTGCCCTTGCTATGCTGAACTCAGCACTGTGTCTGTCGGTTCTCCTGGAATCCCTATCCCTTCTACCCACAGGGCTAGCATCCTCCCGTAGCCTAACTCCTAGTCCTACATCCACCCCAGCTGCAGGCCCAACTGCTGGGGTGACTGATGCTGCCACTGACCTCTCTGCCACTGCCTCAGGTAATTGTGTCTGACACCAGCTTCCGTCAGTCTCATTCTTCTGCTCCCTCTGCGTGGTTGGCCTCTTCTCTGGTGAGGCGGTTGCAGCAGTAGAGCCTGTGGGTGGAGCGCCATGGAGCGTTGCAGCCATCTTACGTTTGCTGCTTGGATCAGGGCAAGTAGATGTGTGTTTCCGGTCAAGGTTAGAGCCTGAAGAACCATCTGACAACTTGGAGGAATCAGGCGTCATCATGGGGCTTGGTTTGGTTTCTGGAACAACTTTATTTTGACCGAAATTGGCAGCCATTTTCCTGGTTCCATCACCTGCTGCTTTCTTTGTACTAACCTTATCAGGCTGCTCCTGCGCGAGTTTGGGGGCTGCATTTGATTGGCTTTGCTGACAGAGAGGCTCTTGAATATCTGATGGGGAAGTTCCTACAGATGGGCCTATGTTCATCTTGGTCTCATCCGGTTTTTCTCCAACCTTACCCCTCCCCTCATCTTGGTCCATACCTGGTGGTGTATTTTCAACAGTAACCTCTAAAGACACACTACTTGACGTTATCCCTCCATCACTTGTCCCCTTGTCTCCCTCATCACTTGTCCCCTGGGACACACCCCCTTCACCATCTCCTGCCTCTTCACTGCCCTGAACCTCGGCTGAACTGTCAATCAGTGCCTCTGAATTCTTCAATCGTTGCATGAAGGTGGTGACACGGATCGCTTTCTGCAAGACAGACATAGGAAGAAAAAGGAGAAAAGGATAGTGGTGTAAAAAGAATTAGATTTACAGTATGCTGCTTTTTTTCAACACCCATATTGACTTGTTTCCCTAAAAGAAAAAAAAACTTTGATACTATATTTGGTTATGGCAAAGCATAAAATATTAGCCTCAAAGACAAGCATTTGACGAAAAGCCTGTCAAGGCACCATGATTTAGCATCATCATACTAAGCGCTGAGATGTGATTTGTGTGAAGTGAACAGAGCAGTAAGATTAGTGCCAGTTGTTTACTTCCAGGAGGCTATGACATATTGTACCCTGGTTTAAATCAATCTCAAGACTCACTCTCCCCAAGCCACTCCTTGACTGCTTGTTGACTGGAAAAGGTAAGTGAACAGATATGTGTAAATCTCCTTTCCATTCATTCTTACACTCATCTGACTCCTTTTGATCTGCAAACACTGAAGGAGTTAGGGAAAATGTGTAAGCTTAGAAGTTGTTTCTAAACCAGGGAATTGATAGTCTGGAAGTGGAAAGCCATTTGAACACAAAAATGTCACTGAATACAACATGGCTTGACTGAGCGGCTTCTGTATAGCTTCAAGTATGACTTGAATGTAACACTGAAGAACAGTATGGGTCGATGAGCCAGGATTCACGTAAGAGGAATGACAGAGGGCCTTATAGTTCAAATCACTGCAGGTCATCAGTCCACAGTGGCCTATATCCCCTATATCCTTTCCATTTCTCCCCCTCCTTATCTACACAAATATAAAAACTAGACAAGCAATTAGCAAGCCCTCTTCCCTGTTGCTGATCATTATCTTGTTTTTACCAATCTGGTTTTATAGACTCGTGCAGATGAGGAGTAAGAAAGAAGCAGAGGGGGCCACTTTGAACATCTAGGTCTAATCCAATGAAGAAAAGTGGGGCAGAGTGGATGGATCTCTTCTGGGACAGGCAGAGTGACAGTGGGCAGGAACAGAGCTTATGAGGAGAGTTTCACCAGCCCAAACATGATCAATACATCTCAAGGCTGACAAGGTTTAACTGGAAGTGTTTCCTGATTTCGTGACTTTTATAGACAACTTCAGCAATTGAAACCTCCTTTTAATTCAAGAGGATGTTCAGCCATTAGAAAGATGTTTTGTTATTGAATCATGCCAGAGTGAAGGTGAGTTTCTGCCCATGCTGCTCTGTCCTTCCATTCTCCCTCATAATGAACTACAATACCTTCAACTCCTGGGAACCACATGGGGAAAGAGAGAAGAGGGTTATAACTGTTACTTATGTGGTTAAGTCGGCCTTGCCATCTCGACTTCCTCCATCTCGGTCTTCTGCAACCACACCCCCAGGACTTCCTTATGATCATCACCATATCATTTGTATATTTTAAACATCTCTGCAGAGTTGTATGCTGAGCTAAAGCACATTTCGTGTGATCAATATTACAAATACATTTATAATCACAATTGTCATTTCTCCTATAGCCATTTGTATTATTGGCAACAGCCCTCATCCTGTTTTTCTTCCTTTTCCTCTGCTGCTTACTTAGCTATATTATAACCAATTTCATTTCATGCCACAGAAAGAGAGTGAGAGTGAATCCATACCCGCCATTTGGCCTTTGCAAAGTTCTTCTCAAACTGGGCGCACACACCGTCCTTTAAGTTCTTCTCTGATGCACCATTTCCTGCAATCCTGGCACAGGTGACAGACAGCATACAAACTAGTACAAGCCCTTTAGATGTGTGCCAAATGTTTGTGCTTTTGTGGTTATTTGCACACAATTACCATTCATGCCAAAGTGCATCCTGCGCAGTGATTCTCAGCATCTGGTCCACCTCCATGAGTCGACAGACAAGCTCCTTAGCTGAGAGAGAGAGACAGTGAAGACAAAAGGTCAATTTAAGTGGCATCATCTAGAGGGAATGAAAATCAGGTATCAATAAGTAGTCTAAAAAAATCATAAATCATGGATGACAATGAACATTAGGTTGTGAAGAGACATTTTCTGACTACCAACACACTAAATGCATTATGCTATTGAAAATTCAACTGGGTATTTATTGCCATCGTGTGGTGGAGCTAAGTACCTGCAGGTGAAATATCATCCCAGTAAGGAGAATCAAACTCAAAGTCACCAGCAACAATGCGACAGAAGATTATGCGATTATGTAGATCTGTGTTCTCCTCCTCTGTCTCATCATAAAAAGGAGGGTTACCTGATAAGCTGCAAAAAGGGGAACATTCATAAAGAGAACAGAGGATAGGGAAGTTATTTCAAAACCACAAAGATAACTCCTGGAAATGCTCATTATGAATCAAACGAAGCAATTATTCTGCTACAGCTCAGTTTGTATTGCCCTTCTTGTTGAATTATAGCTTTGGTAATTACTGATGGAGACTCACAGTATGAACATAATGACACCCACAGCCCAACAGTCCACAGGACGACCATATCGGTGACGAGCCACCACTTCAGGAGCTGAGAGACAGCAAAGACAAAGAGAGAGAGTGAGAGTAAGAAAGATTCAAATGACTTTGGTTTTCATTTATAAACCATCATGCCACATTCATAATTCTACCCTGCACACAAGAGCTCCCTTTTGTACTTTCTCCTTCTCTCATTCCTTTTCCGCCAGGGCCTCTGTTCCATTTCCTTATTTATTTGTCTAATTACTCAGTTCAGCATTATGAATAACTGTCCTGACCTTTCACTGGAGAGAACCAGGCCAAAGCACAGTTCTGCACTCCAAGTCGCCCTCGCATAAGTCTGACAGAGAGCCGAGAGAGGCGCGAGACAGTACACAGGAGATCAGAGGATATGAAAAGAGAGGAGGAGTGGGAGGACGAGGAGGAGGAGGGCGAGAGTTAGGTGCTTTCAATTCTGTGTATGTGTTTCACTGGTTTTCATGTCTGCTTTTTACTATAACAGTTTACCTCTGACAGATTATGATCTTCAAAGGCAGAAGGAAGTAAAGAACTCAAAAAGGTAAAGCATGCCTGCAGGGCTATCTTCACAACAGAAGGTAAAGCTAATGGAAGGGTGTAGAAGTGGATGAGAGACAGAGAACCACGGAGGAGTAAGGGTATATACAGTATGAAAACAGAACTACAAATAGTGGTGAACAAAGAACATCCTACCCAGATATTCTGGTGTTCCACAAGGCTCGGTGATGGGTCCGTTCTCAAACCTGGACAGGTAGAAGTCTCGCAGAACTACTTTGTTGTGATTGTTTTCTGTGTAGTACATCAGGTTTTCAAGCTAAACAAAATGACAGACAGTATAAGTATCCTCATACAAATGCACACAGATTGAAGCCCTATTATATTCAGACCGTCATTACTGATTATTACTTAAGTACATTGTATTATTAGAGCCTGTGTGAGTATTTGTTTTTCTAAATGGATGTTATTATAGTTTATGTTCAGGCCAAAGTGTGTTCTTTGTTCCACTTGGCTTAAAGACACATTTCCCTTTGGGGACCATAAAATTAATGGTGAAAGTTCAAGTTGATTTGTAAGTTGTGTTTTGATCTTGTTGTGAACAGAGGAGTGAGGTCAAGATGATAACAAGTCTCTGAAGTGGAAACTTTCAGCAAGTAGTAATGGGTCAACAGGTAAATCATTAACAGTAATAACAGTCATACTGTTATATGTCTTAAAAATAATAATATGTAATTTCTTATCAATGAAGGGTACAAAAGTTTGTATATTGGCCCCCCTTTATGAATTAATTCTGATCTGAAAACATCATTTTCATTCAATTTCATGGGGTCACAGGATATTTGAGTCCAGACCATTATAGACGAAAAGACAATATCAGCTTCTACCAGTAGGGGGAGTCTGAAGCACAAGATATTCTGTAATTCCATCCTAACCGGTTGATAATAAGGGCTAAAGATATGAATCTGTCTGCATGTGTGTGTGTATCACTAGAGAGTGCATTAAGCCATAAAGACAGTGTTTACCCCCTTGCTAAAATGTTATCAAATGTTGAGTCATTAACTGAGATGACAATGAGTGCAATGCTTTTATGTCTCCATAGAGATTATTCTAGACTATATACTGGAAATTGCTTTCTGGGGTGTGACGGCACTAACTCTGTAAATGTTTTTATCACAGTGCTTACTGTATTTTTAGTGGTAAGTCCCCAGTCTTCTTAAATCTGTTCATGGTAATGGCACCCACCGCACACACACAGCCACACATGCCATAATGTAAGGAGAAGGCGAAACCAGAGTGTGTACCTTGAGGTTCCTGTGAACTATGTTGAGGGAGTGTAAGTACGCTACAGCCTCCAGGACTTGTCTGATGACATTGGAGGCGTCTCTCTCTGTGTAATTCCCTTGGTCCAGAATCCAGTCGAACACATCCCCTCCTGTGGCACTGCATGCAGTCAAACACATTAGCACACACATCACAAAATCTGCTAATAAAAATTAATGCAAGTTGGTGTGACTGTTAACCACATGTTGCAACAAAATAATTTACTTTGAGCTTTCAGTAACACAGTTATCAAAAGCCCTGTGCTCTTGTTTTATTGTCCATTAGTAAGGCAATCTGCTTCAACAGGCCTAAAGCTTGCACTGCTGAGCAATTAAAAAATAGAGTTTGGTCATTACTCTAAAAGACTTGGTTAACTTCAGAGAGAGTATAAATGAAGGGTGTGATCACATATCGCCCTCAGCAAGAGGACTATTGCCTGGGCAAAAGTGTGAGCTGTGAACATACACAGACTGATATGCACACACACACACACACCACACACACACACACACACACACACACACACACAACCGCAATCACTTTGAGTGCAGTTTGTCTCTCTGTAGTTCAGTAACATAAGGGAAATACTCAGCTTCAATCAATGTTTTTGCTTTCAAATAAAGTTGCAAATGTTGAAACTGCACTCGTCTCTAGTAACGCAGATTGGGCCCGCTTTGGCGTATCGATCCTGAGCTCTCTGTAGAGACCCTATAAAGCAGTGCTTCAGGAGCACTGAGTAATGTTGAGTGTTACTAAGAGCAAATATCTCATAAAATCTAACACCTTCCTCTGTTGCTTAGGGGAGCAACAGAGCACACAGTAATAAGAAGGTAGACTCAACCCCTACCCTCTAGCTGATGGATTTGTGTGTGTTAAGGTACATGACGCCACATACACAATTAAGACACACACATTCATACACATTGTCTGGAATGCTTACACAAGAAAGACAAATAGCGATAAACGAAAAGCACTCACAGTTCCTGGATGATGAGGTACTCTTTCCGAGTCTCAAACGTGTCTATCAACTGAAGGATGTTTGGGTGGTTGACCCTGGAACAGCAAAAAGTATTCACAGGCTGTAACCTTACAAGAGTATAGGGTCTCAAATGCAATTGAAAGGTGCTAACCATTCTCTGACTTTTGAATAGTCTTATCCACAAAGAAGGCTGTGGGCATAAATCTCTTCAGCTAGGCAAATACTTCAAAAACAGTGCAAAGCAGAAGTTACAATCACCTGACCTTACATTATTAACCGGGGGATATTGTACGGACTGTGTTACTGGAAGTATAGTATAGATCAGAAATGTCAAACAAGAAAACATTCTCTCATGCTCCGTCTCTCCGCCTCTCTCCACCACTCAATCATACACCCATCTGTCCACGGACTGACTGCGTACAATTTCAGGATCATGATTTCGTTCTTGGCAGCCTTGCGGACTTTCCTGCCGTCTTTCTTGAGGAATTTCTTGCAGACAAACACCTTGTCTGTTTGTCGGTCCTTAGCCAGGCACAGCTCGCAGAACTCCTTCCTACACAAGAAAAAAAAATAGACAGACAGAAAGATGAAGGCAGAAGAGGCAAATATAATCAAAGAAGAGTGCCAAACAAGTGTGGATGCTTTCAAGAGGCACAGCATAATATTCAAATTAGGGAGACAAAGTACACTGACTGTTTTGGTGAAATACAGTGAAAGAATTTAATAGGAAGTAGAGTTGTTCTGAAATGGGTCTATTGCTGCCATCGCCTGGTTTTGAACCTTTGGGGCATTCAGTCCTTCACCCAAATGGATTCTGAGAAGCTTAAACTACAACTTTTTAACTTTTTAAATACTATCAGGAGATTCAATTAACATTTTTATGATAACAAAATACAAAGCAATGACCATGCAATTTTATCTTTATAACCCTTATCTTCCTTGTTTCCTCCTTTCTTTCTAATATTAAAACGAGCACATATACAGCAAATGTGTGCACTTAATTCTGACTTAGTGTGTGTGTGTGTGTGTTATATAAAAGATGAGCAGAAATCTCTGAGGCCAGATGATGATGTTGCCATATGGCCTCTTATACTGATTAGTGTGTGTGTGTGTGTGTGCCTTCAATGTGTCAAGGAGAGGTGTTCAGGGAAAGAAAACGGCCAGTATTTGGCCATTCAAGCAGCAGAGTGATTTTCACAGCTCTTTGAAGATATGTCCAAAAGATTTTTTTTAGGCATGACTCAGAATATTTAAACTGAATAAAATACAGACTTTCCAACAGTGTGTTGGAATGGATGAATGGATCAAAAATATACAGACAATTGGTTGACTAAAAATTGAAAAATGTGTCTTTGTCTGTCTGTTACACACTAGCCTCATGCTATTACCTTCTGTCATTTTTCAGTGAGACTGTTTGATATGCCAAACCAAATCTGCATGGAAAATGGGTCCAATTCAATTTGAAATAATTCATGAAGACAATAAAGACCGTTTGGGAATACTAGAATGTGCCCATGAATTCTACATGGGAGAAGGGGGGGGGGGGGGCAACAGCGATGCATGCATAAAGCTTTATGGTACTTACGCTCGGAGAACCTGTCCAATCTCATATTTGTCCGTGACATCAGACATGCTATCATAAGTCCGCCCATCTCGCAGGGCAAGGCACCCAAATGGCATGACGGCATTCACCTAAGAAGTAAAGAAAAAGACATTTAAATTGCACTACAAAGGGGGAAATAAAGCATAAATTATTTTGATGAAACCTTTAGGTAACAGACAGATAAAGGGATTTCAGAGCAGCATGGACAGGCATGTTAAAGAGGAAAAGAGGTACTGATGAAACATTTTGAAAGCCTCTAGTGGTTGAAGTTAAAGACACCAAGGGAGTGCCATTACTATTAGCCTTAAAAAAATACAATACATTGGAGAACCACAGATACAGCCAAGTCAACTTCTGAAATGAATCTGGATTCTAACGCTTCTGGCAGCCTGGTTGCGTGCCAGCCTTGTCAACAGATACTAAGCTACCCACTAAGCTTCTCTCTACTCTGCTAAAGTCTGCAGATTCTGTGCAACGTCTGTCAAGTTCAAGCTAAACTTTATTTATAAAGGGCAGTATCTCTGTGTCCCTAAAGCAGCTGGCTTCTTCAGCAATCACTGGAGCCCCCAAGTAACACTGAAGGCACTGGGTTTTAATGACAGGAAAATTAGTTTTTTGTTTGTAGTCTACGTGTGTGTGTGTGTAAGTTTTGGATTTGTCTTCTGATCTAGATCAGTAGTTCATGACCTTTTAAACTTGCTTGCTCAGAATGACTTTTAATACTCTTTTAACCTCATACTAACTCTCACTGTTAGCATGGTGCCTGAAAATACACTTCACAAGGGGGAAAAAAACATCCATTCCAAGGATTACGTATGGTATATATATATGAATAGATATATGTTCTTCACGATTACATTCTTTTTATCATGTCCACCCTAAAATAGCTTGTGACCCCACAGGAGGTCCCAAACGCCCAGGTAGAAAATCAAGGATGTAGATAGTGAATCAGCAATCAATATACCATCTCACCACAGTCCTCAGGCAATCCTCACCCACATCCTTTAACACTCCATCTACTGTAGGAGACAGATTTCCTGAAAGCTTCAGCCATCTATCCTCAAGATCCTTTCTCCTCTCCTAAATATCCGACAAAACCTAATCATGTTGGATGATTCATTTCTATTGTTTTCACTTTCTCTTAGTGGAGTTTAGTTTCTAATTATAGTTTATCTTATGTCTCTGTGGGGCTTGGGACCAGAACAAGACATTTCCATGGAATTGACCAAGTCAGGAAATATGTGAAAGGAAGGAATAGGACATTTGAGAAGGAGCTTTTATTAATGTGAGTAATATCAGAGGCAACTAGTAATACTGTGACGATGGCTTCAGGGTGTGTAAGTGGGGGAGAGAGACAGAAGAATAAAGGAAATAGAGAATATGATGTGAGTACTAAGAACAGAAAGACAATAAAAACCCTCAGAGGTAATGACATTTTACGGGTGCTAATTTAGGATTAAGGAATGAATATCAGTGATGTAAATTCTCACTCTCTCTCTTTCTCTATGTGTGTGTGTGTGTGTGTGTGTGTGTATGTAGCATCGCCATTGTAGATGATAGGGCCAGAGGTGCTTCTGATCTATGGTGGAGGCGGGGCTGGAGAATACTGTGTAATCCTAGCGCTGGCCCTAATCTTTAATCTGTACCCCTAATCCAGAGCGCTGGGATACACTGTATGTGTGTATGTGCGTGCATGTATGACTGTGTGTGTGAGCAAGTGCAAAAGTTGACATATCACATGTGTGCAGTTATGTGCAATTGTACATGTGTGTCCATATGTGCATCCTTGTGCGAGCATAATGCCCCAGTGAGACCGAAGGGAATTTAGTGGTGGATTGAAAAGGCCTAGTTTTGCCAGGAGATTATGTAAGCACAACAACATTCCCATAACAAGGTCCAGGACAGTGAAGGTGAAGGCTGGCTTGATGTGAATGGTACACATCCATCCCTGTGGGAACACAGCGTCCCCACTGAAATGTAGTAACAACTGCCAAACAACAAATGTCATTTGTCAGCAAGGGTCAGCAGATACACTCGCCAATAACTTAATGAGATGCTACCGTATGAGCACTGTGGCTCTTTTAAAACTCCTGTCCCTGCTGCACAGTTTGTATGGTCCCAAATCTCCATTGTTAATGTTCTCCATTGTAAAAGCTCACCATAGGCCAAGTCAAGGTCGAGTGGGTAACATTGTGGAGGAGCTAAAGGCAGATATGGAGCATAATATTCATAGGTATGTTTTCATTAGTGTAACCCTTTTCTGGCATTTTGCAGACACCATAGTTTCTCCTTCACGCTTGGAAAGGGAAGGTGAAGTGAGGGAGTTTCAATCTGCCACTACACTGTAAATTGCCACTAAATCCTACACACTAGATCATAAAAGTCTTTACACTGATGTTAACTTTTTAACAAACTTTTCCTCCTGTGTCTCCGCAGTCAAGGTGAGTATAACTTTAGTTCTACTTCTCTTTTTAATATTAATTCCCTGAAGGCTTGAAAGGTTGCTGTCTTCATAAGGTTAGGTTTGAAGATGAGTTTATGGTCTGTCCTTTCTTTTAGATGTGTTTGACCATCTTCTCTTGTGTCACTGGTGATTGTTGTCTTTCCCTTGAAAACTCAGATGCCTTAAAAACACCATACCTGCAGAATACTGAGTCAGTGTACGAATGTTGAAGTTGACGGAGAGTAGGAGGCGATATAGGACGATATAAGAAGAAAGGAGATGAGACGGGAAGAGTGGGAAAGATTTGAGATGAGGAAAGAGGTGAGAAACAATGGGAAGAGAAAAGCAAGGAGAAAGGCACACTGTGACTAAGTGAAAAGGTGGATAGAGAAAATAGTGTACATGAGAACAAAGTGTAAAACACAGAACTGCAGAGGCAGATTGAGAGTACCTCTCAACCTCACAGCTTCACAACTATGTGCGTGTGAATGTTTGCACAGGTGAACGTGTGTGTGTCTGTATGCGAAGTGGGTGCACGTAGGTATGTGTCAACAGGCTATGTGTGATAATGTGTTGTGTGACTCATGTTTAATGAGCGTTTGAAGGGCTGTCCCCAAAGTCAGAAAGCACTTGAAGGCATGCTGACAGGGAAAACTCTCTGCAAAACAAATTCAAAGTACGCAGTCTGAATGTCTGCTGGATTAGTGAAGGTGGCATAATATCAGATACCAAATAAGCACCAGCACTGATCTCATAGCAGATCAAAGCTGCTTTGAATCAACAATACTTCACACTGTGCTCTGGGTGTTTGGACATTTCAACGGCAGAAATTGTTAATCTTTTCATAACACAATTTTTAAAATTTCTGTATCCTTCATCGGTCCATTTTGAAGCTACAAACTGCAACTTTTCACATATTCATGCCATGCAAGAATGAGGTTTCATGTTTGTTATGTGGTTTCATTCTTAGTGAAACTTTCACTGTATTTCTAAAATGATGAAGTATCTCCAACCAGTAAATATGCTGTTTTTTTAACCCCATTACACAGATATAGTAAACATTATAGATTTCAGATTTAAAAATAGAGTTCATGTTTATGTCACTCAGCTTAAATCTGTGATCCATTTAAAGCTGTACTGTACAAAAAAAAAGACCAAATGAGCTTTTTGCATTTTGTCCTCCCATTTAAGCTTACAGGGAGTGAGGGATGTCAAATTTAATATTCACAAAATGAATCAGTGTTTTTGAATGTATCGTGTGTCAATGTAAAATGTAATTTTATTGTGGGTCACATCTGATCATAGAAGACACATTAAATAACAAAAATAAAATTCTGCTCATATTGCTATTGAGTGTCAAAAGCGGTCCAGACAACTGGTCGCTCTGACATGATGAAACAAAACTGAAATGAGAAATATTTAGTAGATCTCGATTCACTTGTTTAAATCCTACAATTTGAATAAAAGCAAGTGTATGCTGGAATGCTGTTATGCAATACAAAATTAAGAATTATTGACAAAACATTGTTCGTAGTACATTTTCCTTATGCCTTTGAAATGCACACCCATTACCACACGCTGGCACACACAGACTCAGGTGTGAAGGCACACCGAGCTATCCGAGACATCACACTCTATCTTCGGTTCCTTAAATCAAATTGCTAGTGCATGTCTGCATGTGTCTGAGTGTGTCTGTGTGCTTGTTCACAAGTGTTGTGTTTAGGCTGTAGCAAGGCTTAGAAATGAATCAAATGGAATAGCATATCTTTTTATCAGCTCAGAGGGGAAGTGTTTCAGAGGTTTGTGGCGTCAAGGTTATTCTAAGAAAATCTGCTATTTACTGGCACAATCTCCTTAGCCACCCTATCCTATTAAGCCCATGCTCAGTCCAACAGGGGAAAAATAGAGAGAAAAATGGTGCATTTTGCAGCTCATCACTAAATACAATATGAATGACACACTAAAGAAAAGCAGCCTGTCACAGTTTATGTTCTGTGTGACAAGCTGCTGGGACTAGTTTTGCTTTTGATGCACCCTCAATTACAGAAAGCCGAGAATAATTGCAAATGTATGTTATGTAAATATTTCATCAACTACTGTGCAGAGCCGCTTTTGCTGTCTTTGAGTCTTTCTGTGTTGTCAGTCAAGTGGTTAGGTGTGTCAGTGTGTCCTTGTCACTGTCGTACAGATGCAGCACAGCGATAAATCAGCAACATCGTCATTATCAGCATCACTGATACTGCATCGGCTTTGTTAAGAGATGACACTAGATCTACGATTTGATAGGATAAACTACAACAAGATGTGTGTAACAAAAAAAAAAGATAAGTATGTAAGTATGTCAATGTTTTCCTCAGGAGCAGCTGACCTCAGGTTATGTCTGCCCGTGTGAACAAGAGATGACAGGCCGTGCATGTCAGACTTCATGTGAGCACCAACCAGAGTTACACATGTGTACACACACACACACACAGCTGCGCGACCTCCACGAAGAGCACGCATGTGCATCCATACATGTACATTTTATACAGCTCAGTGCACGTCACTATACGACTGTCCCTGCGTGACAGAGAAGCACTCTGAATATATGTGTCCCTCATTAATGTCACTCCACCTATATCACGGCAGCATGGTCACAGG